GTTCAGTGCTTGATGTATGAATAATTATTGTGGTCTTCAGGGAGCTGTCCATGTAAAATTAGATTGCTGATTGCCAATCTAAATAATTAAGGGCAGTATGATTATGGGAAGCGTAGTTCACTATGTGTTCCACCCTCTAAAGCCTTTACAGCTGTCATATAGCTGCAGCTTAGAAATAATGAGCATTCAATGTGGCATGTTGCTACCTGCCCAGATGCTAGCTGCAGCCTTAACAGTCCGCCGTCGGAGCCACTCATCACCATGACAGCCCATAAAGCTGTCACCGGGGAGACAAAATGTCCCTGCCCTGAGCTATGTGACCAAGACGTGTCTTTAAGTAAATTAGTTCACGTGTGTGGCTAACTGTGCCGCGCTGTGGACAGACAGCCTTGAACTCAGGTGAGCACTTCACAGTTCACATCTGCCCCCTCCCGTCTGCTGCCACAGTATTAAGCACTGCATTAGAAAAATAACCAAAATACACAATAACACTAAAGATTGGAATCGCTCCTGAGGGGAGACTGTGTGTAGGCAGAAACCCTCAAAGACACTTGAGTATGCTATATAACTATACTTTGATTTGCTATTAATATAATAATTATTTTACTATTTCATAATAGGCAACATTTACACTGTAGAACTGAAACAACCAAGCAGATTTCTCAAATAACTTCCACATCTCTACAACCGATATAGCAAATAATCTATCACAACTCCTTTTTCCTCTGATACTCCGCATACCAAATAAACACATAGTAGTGCATTTATCTTGTGTAATTTCACAGCCCATACCACACTTATCCACACAAGTTAACACCAACTTTATTCTCTAAGACTTAATTGTGTTTACTTTAATGCGCTTTACCGTAAACCTACTATAGACTAGACTATACTTGTGGTTAAAGGCTGGTGTGTGCTCTAAAAGAACTAGTTTGTGCGACACGTCGTCTGACCTCGGAAGGCAAAGGTGTTTACAGCTGCTACGCACAAGGTCATTCATAGTGTTGCACTCAGTTGTACACATTAAAGGCCACAGAAATAGTTGTGTAAGGGATGACAAAAGAGAGCTGGGGGGGGAGAAGTTCACACTCAGCTCTCTCATTTTGTTTCATTTAGTCTATTTTAGAAGTCAACTCGGCTTTGCTATAAAAGAGCATGTACAGCCAGTACAGCCAGTGTCAGCCAGCCAACCCGGTTAAATAAATGTATTGTCACCATGTGGTTATGTGTATCTCTGTATGTGTGTGTGTGTGTGTGTGTGTGTGTGTGTGTGTGTGTGTATACAATATGATACTGTATAATTCACTATATTGTAATTCCTCTATGTAAATACTGTATTTACTGAGTCTACTTGCTAAATAAATCACTAGCCGCTGCACTGTGCTACAATTCGTGGCAGTTACTTTGTTGTGTTGGAGGTCCACGAAACATACATACTGTAAACTCATCCAGAGTGTTTGTACACACACACACACACACTAATCAACCGTGAGGCTGGCCAGAGTGACCACTGTAAGGTCAAAGCCAGTCATTATACAGTAGAGCTCCTGCATGTGGAGCAGAGCGATATGCCACAGCTGACTGCCAAACAGTCACCTTAAACCAAATACCCCTGCTCAGTAGTAAGATGTGACTTGACCTGAATTACCATCACCATTCTCTCTCTCTTCTCTTTCTGCTTTTGTGGCAGATAGCCCTCCATACTCTCTCGACCCCCCTCTTCCCCCCACGGGCAACCAGACATTCTTGACATTTTGCAAAGGTTGAAAGACAAAGAACCTTTGTCTCCTAATAAGGCCGCGCTCTATACCCCACCTGAATGAGAATACTGGGAGAGAGAGGAAGTGTGTGTGTGTGTGTGTGTGTGTGTGTGTGTGTGTGTGTGTGAGGAGATGTGAGGTGTAGGGTGGGGTGTTTGTGTGTGATGATGGAGGATGGGTGTATGTATGGATACAGATGGGAGTGTGAAAATGTAAATCAGGATTGAGTGGGTGAGTAGGACAGGAAAAGGATAGGAGTGTGTGCATACAAGTTAGGGGAGTGGGCGGTGGGGATTTGGTACTGAAAATAAAACTGCGTAAAGAAAAGAAAATGAATATTGTTATGATCAATCTCCTTTCCGTAGGTTGAGAGTGATAACAGTTAGATTTCAGGGGCTGATGTAAGCTGTTGCTGTGAGAAACACGGCGGCAGCGCACCTTTATCCTTCGCCCGCAGTCACACAGATGGACTTGTATGCTCTACAAGAGAGCGATATTCTCTATCACTGCAATGGCTTGAAGCGGAACTCACAAAACCCAAGGTCCTTCTGGTCTTGTCTCATCTCTCTCTCTCATCCATCACACCCCTCAGTTCTAGCTCTCACCTCCCTCACCGCCTCCCCCCTATCTCGCCTGCACCGGATTCCTCCTCCGTTTTCGCGGAAAAAACAGCTGAAGCGAGAGGAAAATAGTGCTCTAGCAGAGTGTAAGCAAGGACAGAGGTGTGATGAAACGGAGAGGTTTAAATAGTTAGGGCTCGCCACCTGGTCAAGGCCCCTTCCAACCTTTGGCTGAGTCACTTCTCGTTTTGCCAGAGTTACCACTACCTTTTTCCTTCCACTTACCATACAGCTATGGCCCCGTGTTATGCAATGTCCCCGCATTGTCTCATTTGCTGTTTTCAAGGCACTGCAATTTTGCAAAGGCACAGAGTTAAAAGTGAGAACACAATAGTGTTTTTTTTTTCCTATGTTTTGTCTCAACATTACGTAAGCAAGAGGTAAAAATATCTGGACCTGTCTTTAAAAGCAGATGGTGTGGTTATGACATCAGGCTCGTTAAAGGCAACTATAACTAGGAAGAGCCAAGGGTTGTTGTGAAGTACACCACCTTAAATCCAGCTTCTTCGTCTAACAAGGTGAAGAAATGTTCATTGTGTGTGTGTGAGAGACAAGCCAATGAACAGAACAAAAGTATGTGTTGCAGAAATCTTTAAATTCTCCTCTCATAGTCTGTTGTCTTTCTATATATTAGTCTGGCTTCCCCCTCCCCCTGTTTCTCTCTCTTTCTGTGTGGGTATTCTGTCACTCACTGGAATGTGGGCAGATATGGGATCATATTCAGACTTCCATATTCATTCTGCTAGCAACTCGGGAGCCAATATTAGCCACGTGGTTGTTGTTTTACCCATGAGCCCGTTGCCTTGGAAACGTTGCATAAGAGGGAGTGGGAAAGCGGGATGCCCCTTGCTGATTGGGAGAAAAGGTGGCAGATCTTTCTTTCTCTCCTCTTGTCTTCCCCGTGTCTTCCTCTTGCATCGTGTTTTTTCCCTCCACTTGACACTTGTTCCAACTTTATGTGTCAAAACACTGGAGCTCCAACTGTCCCCTCTTGCCACGTGTTGAAATTAACTCACCGCCCAGCACCTCCAAATAAAGCTCCACAGACAAAAACAGCAATCTGTTACAGTTAGTCGGCCCTGCACCCAAGCTTCAACTAAATTAAAGCTCCTGTTGAAACAGTGATTTATAGCCCAATTGGAAATGTTTGTCCTCACAGTGCTCACGCACAAGCACCGCACACACACACAAACACAGACACACAGAGCTTCATGAGCTGTGTTGTGTGTCATCCTTGGCTGTGGGAGGCCTTGACTGGAGTAGTGCTTTGTTGAATCCACTTAGACCACATGTTCAAGACTGCATGACTTTCCATGGCTTCCATACAAGCAAGGCCACGCTGTGTCTACATACCAGGAGGATGGGGGCTGATGAGGGAGGACAGCGAGTGAGGGAAAGATGGCCTTGGCTCTGCGACAGGATAATTTATCTTCTGTATCCTCACTGACTCCGACTCTTTGCCAAGAAAAAAAAAGAAACAGGATTAGACGAGACACTTAAAACTTAATGCAGCCATTTAGAAGTCAGGGCTGCAGTTTACCCAATAATGTCCAAACAACGTAACAACAGTGTCTGACATACTTGTGTAGGCAAAAAGAGAATGATTAGTCACCTGAACAGATCATGGCTGCTGTAGGTTGCACACTTTCCGATGGAATAACCTAAATTTGAGTTTCTTGAGTAATTTGCATTTTTTCCAGCATGTAGTAAGCCAAGAAAAGAGCAGGGTGGGCAGCCCCTGTGTGAGAGAGCTGTCTTAATCCATGTGTTTAGCAAGCACCATCTGCTGCTTTTATTCAGATGGGAGTAGAAATATTTGGTTGATTAGAGAGAGGATTGGTGTAGGATAGCCGCACCGTTACCACCAGTTAGAAGGGACACACATGCTCGATTCTGTCAACTGGTGTCTTGGAAAGCAAACAACATAAACATGCAAAGGCACAGATGTGCATATGGGTGTGAATGTGTAGAACACACTAAACATGCATCAAAACATGACCAAAACACTATAATACTGTAGAGAGGCAGAGATGTCGATTAGACAGATTTCAAAGAATGCATCCACTTGCAGACAGATTAACATGAAATATCTGCTCAGTGAGGTAATGGTAAAGGAACAGGACAATACACAACAGTATGACCTACCTTTGGTAAATGTCAAGACATACTAAATTGTGCTTACTTATGCTAGATAAACGTTAATGTTTAAGTTGTTTCTTTCCAGGAAAAGAAGGTTGTGCCCGATGGTACAGATCCACGATTTAGCCTGAGTCTTGCTTTAGTGTGAGCTTAGTTTTTTTAGTAAAAAAATGTGTTTTTGATAATTCAGGTTTATATCCACTGATTAATGCTGGCTGACCTTAAACTGTGAAGCTGTTTATCACAGATGACATGCTTGTGTTATTAAAATACCCAATCCTAGTAGACAGTTACACAGAATTAGTTGGACGCTGTTTAATGAGATTCGCACACCAACATTTCAATCAGTCAGTAATCCAGTTTTTTCCTTTCACATTATCCACGAAACCTGTGATTTTGTGTGCCATTATTTATACCTTAATGTCCCTGCCTCATTGTACATGTTCACTGCAAAACGTGTGCATGTTTTTTGTGTCTCCAGGTGCTGATCTCGGTGGCCTGATGGACCTAGAGTCTCTGTACCGCGGTGTCCAGCAGAGCATCAACCACACGCGGCAGGGCGAACACGCAGACAGAGCCTGGACAGGGCCTACAACATCGAGGTGCTGCTGGGCGTCGATGACTCGGTGGTCCAGTTTCACGGGAAAGAGCACGTCCAGAAGTACCTGCTCACACTCATGAACATTGTAAGGGTCACACACGCAAACAGTCAGAGAAGTAGATGAACATGTCTCACTTTAAGGAATGTGTCACTGAACAAAGTACCTCTCATGTAAACTGCTGACATTTCAAGCTCTTTAAAAAAAACTTTTATCACAGGTATCACCCATCATCCCAAATATCATCCCAAATACCCAAAAATGAAATCATTAAATGGGAAAACTGTTCCATTTGAGTTAAATGGGAAGTAAGTCATAGAGAGGTCAAAGAAAGAGGGTGACACACACACACACCAACTGAATGAGGATTCAATTCCCTTCCTACATGTTCTCATCCAGCAATCAGCCGCGGGTAATCCTTTCTTCTCTATCTGAATATGATGAGATTTCATTTGTTTGAGTGTGTTCAGTGTGGGTTAGGTGTGCCCTCCGAAGGGGTTCCTAAATATCATTTCATCAGGGTTTGTGTCGTGTCATCATTCATTGTGTGTGTTTGTTTGTGTGTGCGTGAGTGTGTGTGCAAGAGAGAGAAAAAAAGAGAGAGAGAGATGCAGAAACAGCAGGCAGTATGCTCCAGGCCACAACAACACTTAGCCAAGCATTCAAACTCCCAGTTGTGTGTGTGTGTGTGTGTGTGTGTGCACGACACTGAACAAACTGCAGACTTTAATCTTTGCAAATTAAACCTGTGGTGAGAGTGCTGTTTGCACGCATTTGTCCGCATGTGTGCGCACTCGAGTGTGTGCGCTCCTGTTTGCTTTTGCCTGTACTGCGACCCACTGCGCAAGGAACCAATCTCCGACTGTTAAGCAGGTGCACACATACAGCAGCAAATCCTACCACACCTCTTTGTCTCAGCTCAGCGCTTGAGAAAGAACAAGAGTCGCTGTGCTCTCTGCCTCCCCTTTTAGATATTTGTTAGACAATCTAGGAGAAGGGAATTCGCAGCGCTGTCGCAGCCCCCCTCTAATCTGTGGGGAAGAGATGGAGAGACAGAGGGAGAAGGAGTATTTTAAACAGCACATTCGGAATAAATTACTGACAGCCAGATAAACAGAAATAAATAAATAAGAGCTGCCTCCCACGCGTGGCATCTGGGCGACTTTCTTCTTGAAAGTTTGCTTTGCTCACTTCAGGATGGGCGTGCTCTCTTTCTTATTTGTTTCCCTCTCTGTCTTTCTCTCACTCTCCCAGTCTCTCAGCAGCGCTGAGTCGATCTACACTGAGCTCTTTTGCATTGTTACTCTCCCCTGACTTGGGTACTTTATGGCAACTAGTACTCAACAATATTTAAAAAAAACAACATTTTAAGTATAATGTGAGTGAGCAGGTTTATGAGAAGACATACAATGTAAATTTAGGATAAGGAGAGAGATTTGAGAAAGTGTATTTGCCACAGGTGCCCTCTAAAAGGCATTCATGCGCATGGCAGTGTTTTAAGTTATTGTAATAGTGTGGCTGCTTAACCGCACAGAAAGATAGTAATACTTTTCTTCTGTTATGTTTCTGTTTTAAAACAGATCCAAGAGCAGAAACAGTTTGATAGAGATGTTAGTAAAAGTCTTTAATGACAAAAATATGTCTGGAGGGTAGGGAAAGAGTGGCTGGTGAAAGCATGAGGCAGGCAGGCAGAAGGGTTGTGAGAGTGGAGATGGTCTGAGTTGAAGCGGCAAGTGATTGCAGGCTGAGAAGGTAGCACCGGAATCCTGGTACACAAGAAAAACCACATTAACAAAAGGCATGAACGAAAGTATTCACAAAAACACCAGAGTTTCACTAGAATGCATTTTGGCTGAAAGCTACTATACCAATGGGTAGACAGAAACAATCTGGCGACGATTGGCAGGAGTATTTTTGCAGGAAGTAGATTTCCATCAGTTGTGGAGAAGAGCCAGGTGCCTGGAATGTAGACCACGCCCACAACACAAACACAAATACAGACACACAAGGGAGGAGGGAAGAGAGAAATAACACAGGAGAACACAAAAGACACGGTCAGAGCCGTGATATCTTTCCTTGAAAGAAGACATTAGACATTAGACACAATATTAAATGTATGTCTTGATGTCTCCTCTCCTTCACATACCACTATTTTTCCTGCTTCCACCTGCTCTTCTCCCTCCACCAATTTCTCTCCTTACTTCCAGGCTGAATTTAGTATATTTGACATTTTTCTGTATGCATGTTCATGTTCACACTTTCATCACACCAAAAACAGTGTGTGAAGTGATCCTCCGTCATTTGTTGCAGCAGCAGCTGTTACAATGTTGTACAGCCACCTTCAAGGGATAAACAAAGCACTTGCATTTCAGTCCAAAAGGCTATTCTTTACTACAATGAATGCAAGTTTACAAATTAATTTCCACCCGTCCATTGTGTTCCTCTCTATCCCTGTATCTCTGTTCCAAGGACCGAAGTGAGCTAATGGTCAAGGTGGTCAGTTTGGTCTTGCATGTGTTTGTGTGTGTGTGTGTGTGTGTGTGTGTGTTGGAGGATGGGGCGGTACTGCTGTCAGCAACACATCAAAGCACACCCACAGAAAACCACTAAATCCTGTCTGCGAAGTTCAACCGGAGTGTCAAAGTGTGTGTGTTTGTGTTGAGTTAAATGTGTGTATTAGTAATTCTGCTTCCCACTCCTTTCCCATGTGTTTACCATCCTTCCCCACTTTGTGTTTTTGTTCAGTTACATCAATGGACAATAATGGGTCTAACAATGAGGCTTAATTATTCAATAACCATTTCATAATCTGTTAATGGACTAGAATGTGCATGCAGATATAAGCACAAACACACAAATAGACGTGCACTTTGTAAAACAAAAAAGACCTGTTTTCAACAATGAAGAACAGAGGAGGCTACATGACAGGTAGATGTTGAAGCCCATTTGTCTTGCAAACTTCTACATGGAAAAGAGTAAGAAAAAAAAGGACCAGGCCTGTATAAAAACTCACTGAACAAAAAAGATCTGGCAAAATGGATGTATTAAGGGCAAAGTTGGACAGTTGGAGGCTTCATCACTTCCTTATTACCTTTCACAACCTAAGATCTCACTCAAAGTCACTTTGACTTTTTGCCCGCCGTATTTTAACAAAGTGTGTAACTTTAACACAGATAACTGCTGTTTGCATCCTGTTTCCTAACAACAGTTAATGTTGGTTTCTTTTAAAGATGGCCACAATTTTTCCCTAAATTCAACCAAAATGTTTTCATTGTCTTGAAACTTAACCAAACCTGATCTATAGTGGTGAAAAAACACTCATCTGGATCATTTTGGAAGGCAATGACAAACAGTTTGGAGAAAGTGTTGCCCGACTCTGGATCTGATAAGACGCCCGTTTCATACAGTTATATCAGGCTACTTTGCTTAATGTTTAATGTTAAGTGTGACTCTTTCACCACATTCTGTGTGGCAGAGAAGGCCTCTACATTTATACATGGAAACAAAATATTGGAATTGTGTGTATTTAAAGTCAGATTTCCCCAATAAAAATCTTAGATACAATGAAGATAATTTATCCAAAAATATAGAATAGTTGGGTAGATAAGTGTTTCACTGATGTGGGGTCATTTTACCGAAAGACATGAGACAGAACGTTGGCTTTAAACTTTAAGTGTGTGTGGAATATATTGAGTGTGATTTAAACTTCTAAGACAACACAAACTACAAAAAACTAACCAGAAACTCAAGACTGTTACCATTGTCGAATGGAGCAGCACTAATGTTCACTCAGTTGGTTAAGGGGCTTGAGATAAAACTGAAATGTGTGTGTGTTGGTGTGTTAATAAAGAGAAAGAGAGAGTAAAAAAGAAGGAGGGGGAAATGAATAAATAAAATACAGGAAAAGGGAATGAATGGCTGCAGGTAGCTCTGTTCATTGCATCTGGACTGGTGACAAAGTGGGCTGATAGAGACTCTTGAAAACAAGAGCGTTGTAGCAACAATGTTGTGTTAAATCCTGTAAAATATGCTGTGTGCCAAATGCCAAGTGGAGGCTATTATGCAGTAATCTTCCTGTGGCGAACCTCATGGTGATAGATTTAGTGGCCAACAGTGATCTGTCTGTCTACCTGTCTTTCTCACCTGTTAATGGAGACCTTTAGAGAGGTGCTGCAAAGTGTTAATCACACTCTCCACGGATATGAATAGTCACTGCTGATGAGAGAAGCATGTACACACGTGTGTGTATGTGTGTGTGTGTGTGTGCGTGTGTGAGACTGTGTTGGGGTTGTGCTCGTGTGTTTGTGCATGCTTAATTTAAATGATGCAAATGGGTATGCTTGAGATGTATTTCGTCTGCGCCTTTATGCCACCAGTGTGTGATAAGTATCATTTCTGTAAGAGCTGTCTGGAAGTGGTGCAGATCTTTCAGTCTTGTCTTTACCAAAGCTCCTGGAGGCAGGGAAAAAGTCAAATTAATATAAGTGGTAGGAAGAGCTGGGAAGGGAGCTGGGAGAGGTAGTCCAGGTAATAACAGACACCTTGTTAGCTGGAAGTGTCACAGATATTTAAGGAGCAATGTCAGACCGAGAGCTCAAATTCTGGGTCTCAGTTTTGAAATATTCCCATGTGTGTCAACAAAAAAGATGTAGAAAAGTGGTCCAAAGTCTTATCTAATTTATGTAACACTCCAGCCAGATTTTATTTGATGACTCAGCTCTGTCTCATCAGCAGCTGAGATTGTTTTTAATGCATATTTTCAAATTGTTTCTAGAAAAAAAAGCCTATTAAATACAGCCCACTCTCCATTATGAGTTGATTAAAACACATGAGCTTGGTGTGTGAAGCACTGTGAAAAATTATTACACAATTAGCTTAAATGTATTACTTAGTATTACTACTATGTACCCATTAGTCTCAGTACATCTTTACAGAAGAGACAAATTTCCTTGAAGATAGAAAACATACCTTATTATGTTATTTAAAAATAAAAAATAAGGCATCATTATAATACTAAATGTAGGTGTGAACCTGTGGATGAGCAGTTAATAAAGTGCAGATTAAAAGTAGCACTCCCGCCGCTTCTTATTCTCTCTTGTATAGCCCATACCCCGTTTGCTTTGCTTTTGCAGCAGTAAACATATCTGTACTCTCCTTCCTTCTCATGCTTCAGATTTTAATTTAACTTTAACCCAACACTGAAAAGATTTATTTACATGTGTGTTGTGTGTAAACACGAGTTAAACAGGCACATATTTCCAATTATGTTGAACATTATCATAATCCTCATTCAAGTCAAACATTTTAATTATAGCTCTAATTTATGTAGATAAACAATTAGTGATGGTGCCTTTAACATCACTCCGGAGTTAAGTCAGAGGCCTTGGCAGCATCATTCAATGATTTTGTGCCCTGCTGACCTAGGCCTGCGTTAGTTACTACACAGACAGACAGATCTAGGCTACCTTGGATACCTGCACCCCGGGTGTTAAGTAATGACACCTGACATCGCCCTTCAGAACGTCAGAGCACAGCCAGAAGCAATAATGAGAGACGGGCCTGTATAGGGTTTAACAAAGAATTGTGTGTGTGTGTGTGTTTTGTGAATATGGGTGTTTATGTGTGCATGCGAGGACAAGCACATTTTCAGTGAATATGTGGGTGTTGCTGTGCAACATGTGTCCTCTGCTGTATAGCATCTGAGTGTGAAGTGTCCAACTGTATGCAAGTGTTAAAGTGTATGAAGACACAGAAAAGTTGGGACTGAAAGGACACTACACTGCCGCTGTGCGTGTGTGTGTTTGTGTGTATATCTCATTAGAGTGGAACTTGTGGTGTCGGGGTCACACGGAAGTCAACCATCCCTAATTGGCCTACCAGTAGTCAAGGAAACGGGCCGGATCAGGCCAAGTATGAACTGACCCAAGTGTCCAAGTCATCTCAAACAAACAAACACTACTCACACACACACACTCACCACAGAGTCATGAGGTAAAAACTACCAAATGACAGACCAGTAGGTAGCCAAACAGACAAGCAAGATGAAAACAGCAGACACACACACTGAGCCTCAGACAGGGTTAAACCATATACTGTATATAAAGATGGACGACGCGTCTCCACTTAAGCCAAAATATCCCAGATACAGGAGCTGCCATCTTGTGCTGGTGAAATCATTTGGAGCCAGAGCCTAGGTAGGAGTGATCAGGTTGGAGCTGGGTATTGAGGTCCCGCCCATACACCCGGCCGACTCAGTCACAAGCAGAGTTCAAGTGTCAATCATGATGTGAAACCACCTTTTTATAGCATCAAATAACTAAATTAAACCAAATAAAAAAGTTGAACTTGAACATACATCAGCGTAATAAGAACTACTTAAAATGACAGAAACCATCTGTGGGACAAATGTATTTGCCACGTACTGTACAGTTTGTCCCATGTCCCATCTGCTAACATGGAGTGGGAGCAGTCATCTTTATATACAGTCTATGGTTTAAACTGAGAAGACAACAGAACTCTCTGTGTTTGTTTGGAGGTTGCTTAGCACCTCTGTATCTGTAAAAGTAGCATCCAAAACATGGAACTGAGGGTTAGTGAAAGAAAACCTTTACCTTTGTTCCTGTAAAACTCTTCCTAACACTCCTCAATAATAGAAGCAACTAATTGTCTCTCAGGACTTTTTTTGGCTCATTTCACAAAGCTCGTCTTTGACCAGCCTGAGAAAATTATTCAAGAAGTATCACTTGCACATGCAAGTTGCATTATGGGTGTAGGTTCCAGTGTTTACACCCATACAAGGGATTATAACTCAGGAGACCTCAGCATTTATCTGTCACTTGCAAATCCCCGGACTATATGGATATGCAATACCAAAATTGTTTGAGTGTTCTTTTAATATGGTTATATTGCTTTATAATGCCTTATGATCACAATTTCCAAGTATTATTCTTTCCTATCCCTCATGTAATGCTCTGTTCCATTCACAGTTGAAGGTCAAAAAGTCCCAGTTACTTTCACAGACTAATTACAGCCTCCATTATTTCTAGTGTTCCAGCTTGGAAAACAAACAAATGGATGCCGCCCACAAGATTTGACTTTCCTGACGTAAAATGCTGCTTCAACTGAAACTGCTAATGTTATTTTAGTGATATTTGGCTACATTAGCAAATTAGCTTAGAGCACTGCCAACTGTAAATTTTAAATTTCAGAAGGTTAATTAGTATATTTCATAATTTACCAGACAGATGTTCCCGATAACATAGAGCCCAATGCCGCAAACCAAACGTGGCTTATTTTGAGGTATCTGAAAATGGTGTAGAGCTGTAAAACCAAAAGTTGTCGCCATGTTTATATGTTGAGGTAATCAAACACATTTATTTCAGACTGTTTGTGGTTAACAAATTATGATTCACTCCACTGGATTTTTCCTAATAAGATGCTGGAATTTCTGCCATTAGGTCACATATGGAACAGAGTATTAGGTTACTCCAAATTTCTCCTCTCTTCTTTAAAAACCCTTCTCCGCAGCTTTATGCTACATTTGTTTTCTAAGAATGCATTGTTTCCTCTCCGTTTCAAGCTTTTTTTCTTTTCTCACTTTGCCTCTGTGCTCCTTCCCCCCTCTCTGCTCAGCTTCGTGTCTCTTTCCCTTTGTCTCTATGTCTCTATTCGTAGCATTCCTCAACTCTCTGTTGTACCTTTCTCTCACTGGGTGTGTCTGCGATTGTGTTCTTCTTCTCTGTACCTGTTTGTGTGTGTGTGTGTGTGTGTGTGTGTGCGTGTGTGTGTTTTCTGTGCGAGTCTCTTTCTCCACAGCGTGTCCATCAGCATCTCATTACGGCTGTCTGTTTTTACATCCCTTTGCCTCATTAGGCACCGCACACAGCCACTGAGGACAGCAGGCCTCAACTCCTGCGCCAATTTACCCTCTCTCTCTCTCTCTCTCTCTTTCTTTCTCTCTCTCTGTATGTGTGTGTGTGTGTTCAGTTTTTGCCAGTAAAATGCTCTCTGCATCTCACTTGTCACACATTACCTTGTTTCCTTGCATTAGGCTCTTTCCTTCCTTTACATCTTTCTTCCTTCATCTCGTCTCGACCTGTGCTCATGGGAAACTGAGTTCCTGCCAACTTCGTTTTCTCTCATTTTTGGTTCCTTCGCTTCCCTTCTAGTCTCTAATGTCACTGTGTTGCTGGCTGGAAACTTTCATATCTCATTGTTTTGTGTTCTATTTACTACTTTCTAATAAGGCATACTTTATAACAGATTTATAATTTGTTATTAATGGATTTTATTCAGGGTTAATTAGCCATGGTTGTGAAGTGTTTTGTTTGGTGTTTATTCTCCTCCAGTATGCCACTTGCTTAATCTTTTTTTTTAGTTAGCTACATTAAGAAATGACTCCATTGAACCGGTTACCTTTTAGAATATTTTTTCATTTTGGGAAAACAGTCATTCAGTTTCTTACAGAGAGTTAGATAGAAGGTTGATACTAGGATGATCATATCTCTCCATTTGATATGAAGCTACAGCCATCCACTAGTTAGCGTAGTTAAGCATAATGACTCCAGGTAGTCACTGCAACCACACTAGAAATAGTCAGAAAAAACGAGCACAGTTTTTACACATAGTGTAATAAATTACCCAAATTTTTATATTCCAGTTTTGTAAGTGGCCATATGCTCAAGCAGGTTTAACTGGTTTTGTACCCAATTGCAGACACTAAACACTGCTGTTTGAGTTAACTGATTTATTTTACTGAAAAAACATAAAGTTGTTACGATGAAAAGTCCTAACAAAACAAAACACAGCTGATCCAACAAATGCGGGGCTAAGCCAACAAAGTCACAATAATCTAACAACCAAAATGTTAAATCCAAAGTCCACTGACAAATGAAACAAACTATTTTCAGGCAGGTGGGAACATAAATCCACGAGCATATAAATGGTGAGTAACAGGCAGAGTTGCAGGCAGGTAACGAGACAGGGAAACCTCGCAGCATTGACGAAGATGAGCCAAACATGGACAATAAATTCTGAACCACACCACAGACACACACAAGCAGGCAGCTACTACTAACAAAACTATTACTGACAACTTACAAACCTTTTATATATTTGATTAGATTTTGTTGTATTTCTTCCACTGAGATTTGTGTTCCTTCTTGTGTTTCTCTATGCAACTCCAGGTGAATGAAATCTACCATGACCAGTCTTTGGGAGCAAAGATCAACGTGTGCTGGTGCGGATTATCATGCTTGGCTACGGAAAGGTAAGACAAACACAAGTTCTATAGAAAAGTTGACTGAAACAATCTCTTTAAGTACCTACAGTAAGCATGTTCAGCCAAGTCGTACACACACACACACACACACACACACTCACACATAAACAAATACACACACACGCCCGCACTCATCAGCACGCACTGATGCCCGGAGCCTGTTATTCCAGTGGACTGAGCAAAAGAGGAACTAAAAGCATGCAGCATCCCAGGGGAGTGTTTTCAAGTCACACGCCTTCATAGTTCAGCACCAAAGCACACAGAAACTCTGCCCGTTATGCAATCAGCCTTCCTCCCAGTAGGCTGCAGCACAGAATCATGGGAAGTCCAGGCAAAGATAAACAATCAATGATAGCCCTCCCTCATTCATAAACAGACTGGACGATGGGGCTAGCATCCTTTTCTTCTTGACTGTAACTCTATCTGCCTGCCTGTGCTGAAGGGAAGAAGAGAGGAAGAGAGTGGAAAAAGAGAGATAAACCAAGCAATGGCAGGAAAGGAGGAAGGCAGGGATTACCCTACAGGATTATACAAATTATTTTATTGCTAGTTAGGTGCTCTGTGATACACTTATGCTGCTGTAGCCTTATCTCTTCCTCTCCTATCTACATGTCTACAGTCCCAGTGGAGCCCTGGAAACACACACTACCACACACACACACACACACTCCCCTACATTGGTCATTCTGGACCAGGCCCTATGCAGCTTCAGCCAAAGCTCTGGCTGTCCATCATCCCCAATTACCGTGGCAACAGAGCTGCACCCAGACAGCCTGCAGATTGGCTGTGTGACCCTGAATGCAGGCGCACCCACACTTCACACACACACACACCAACACATCGTGTACTCACAACCCACCCTTACAAATACACCTTTAAAGATCACAAAAACACACTGAAACACACATGAAAGCACCTGATGAACATGATACACACACACACACACACACACACAAACAAGTGCACTCCGTCTTAGGGGTGTTTGTGCAGAGGCAGGCCATATGTCTTCACTGCAGCACACTCACACTACACACACTCTTCGCTGTTTGATTCAGCTGTGCATTGATTCTGCATGTGTGAAAACAGCAAGGAAATGTGGAAAGCAAGGCGAAAAAGGAAGCAGTGGAAGAGAGAGACGGAAAGACTTGTACAGCAGAATGTAGGGAGGCAGGGGAGGGGGCGAGATCCTAACGAGGAAGAGAATGAGGGGTGAAGGTGAATGAAAAGAATTGCTGGCATCTGGGTGTTTGTGTGGGTGTCTGTATTATGCTTTAAATCATAAGTAAATATGCTGTAATTGGACATGATTTTGGACCATTAGTGCATAGCTCATTAACAGGCAGCTCTGTGTTCAGTTTCATGTTCATTATTGAAACCGTCAAGATTACGGGATCCTAAGCATTATTGTGAGAGCACTCTGGATCCATCTGTGTGCGTGTGTGTGTGTGTGTGTGTGTGTGTGTGTCTGTGTCTGTGTGTCTGTGTGTGTATGTGTGTATGTGTTGGACACCTCAGCAATTTGCAAGATGTGCTGACAAGATATAACATTGTGCCACTGCCCCCTACAGGGTTGAATAAAATGTGATTGTACCAGAGCTGAAGCAAGGTTTAGTTCTCTGTTTTTGAATGACACCATATTTTCTCTCTTTCCCTGCATCTGTCTCTCTCTTTCCAGTCCATGAGCCTGATTGAACTGAGGAACCCGTCTCAGAGTCTGGAGAATGTGTGTCGCTGGGCCTTCCTGCAGCAGAAGCAGGACACAGGCGACGCCGAGTATCACGACCACGCCATCTTCCTCACACGGCAGGAATTTGGCCCCACGGGCATGCAGGGTAACGAAAGACATACACTGAACCCTTTCTGTTTAACATATCATACATACATCCAAACTGCACCCCCCTCTCCTTTTCCTCATATAGCTGCACAGTACACAGCTGTGTTGTTTGGTGGTTGGTGGTTTTCTGTGCAGCAGAGTGCAGGCTAACAGGCAAGCCCAGGGGAGAGGCCTCTAAAGGCAGTGGCCTAGCTATCCAGAAGCCCTTCAGCTGCCCTTCGGCTCAGCCTTCAGCAGCAGAAAATCAATAGGCAGAGCAGGGCCAGCCACAGTCCCACAATTAAAGGCAGTACAGGACAGACAAGCACACAGGGAGTTGGAGATTGCTGTATGTAGGGATAGAAGCCGACGGTTTAGGGTTAGGATTAGACACACAAGCATGCACACATGTGTTTTTATGTGTGAACAAGTACTGCGTGTGTCTATTTGTGTAAAAATTACATATAATGAATATCATTGCATAGGTAAGTCTCATATTTAAGTTTAAAAGTGAGCATAGTTAACCTCAATAAGTTTCATCTCTCAGATCCACTGACTGACATGAATGCACTTTCAACTGACTTGTATTTCAGTATATGGAGTCAAATTAAAGAGTTGCCTAGAGACATACAGACTTCAGTATTGTTCAGATATTATTACATTTTAAGAAAGTGTATGAAAACCATATCATTTGACAATATGAATTTAGCGAGGTATTTACGTTTATTAGGCTGTCACTGCTGTGTATATTTTGGTAGGTATGGATGTTTTGCAGCAAAAGTTGAAAAGAGGCGGATCATTTATCTATCTTATTTATTTTGGGAAGGGCTTAGGTAAAAGGTGTGTTTTTTTGTGGGAAATTTTGTGTTAGATATATATGCTGAAATACGTTACACTTGAAATGGATTTAAATGAAACTTTACCTTTGACTATCCAAGTCCAAAAGTCTTGTTATACTGTTAATTTAAAGCATTGCAAAGGTTTTGGCACTCTGCAAAGCCTTCAGCACAACACAACAAAGTCCACAAATCCTGACGATTGTGTCTCTCTCTCTTCCTGTTTGCCTAGGTTACGCCCCAGTGACGGGCATGTGCCACCCAGTGAGGAGCTGCACTTTGAACCACGAGGATGGTTTCTCTTCTGCCTTTGTGGTGGCACACGAGACCGGACACGTGTAAGTTATTTTGTCATAATGATGTCTTCAAGAGCCATGCTCTCGGGCTACAGCAAAAGACAACAAAGCAGTCACTTATAAGACCATATTGATTTATAACAGTTTTGGACCGTTGGTCACCACAGCCAATATCTATATCGACTCACATATGAACCCCCCCCCCCTCCCCTGGTCCTTGTCTTTCTTCTCCTCCCACATGTTCCCAATCTGTCTCTGCTCGTTCATCCCCTTTCCCTTCACTTCCCTCCTGAGTCTTCTCTTGTCTCTCTCTCTCTCTCTCTCTCTCTCTCTCTCTCTCTCTCTCTCTCTCTCTCTCTCTCCCTCTCTCCCTCCCTCTCTACCTCCCCGCAGGCTGGGGATGGAGCACGATGGCCAGGGGAACCGCTGCGGAGATGAGGTCCACATGGGCAGCATCATGGCTCCACTAGTACAAGCTGCCTTCCACCGCTTTCACTGGTCTAGATGTAGCATGCAAGAGCTGGGACGCTACCTTCAGTGAGACACAAACACACACACACACACACACACACACACACTTTCTCACACGGTATCATACTAGGATTTCAAACTTTCATCAATATAATAAATAAAATTTGTTGTTATTATCCTCAAAGCTGTTACAGTATAAAGCATTTAAGTCTCATTGCCAAAATCACAGGGTGGTGGTTTTCAAGGTGAGAAAGTCCAAATGTAAAGGTATGGGGGGCTCTGAAACAAAAATAAAAATCATCTTTAGTCCCTGCCCTAAGTTTATTTCCACACAATGACATGAATAAATGAAAGAAAAAAAATGAAGGAAGTAAAATTTCACAACATAAATTTTTCTTTTTACTCTTCTTGCAGCTCCTATGACTGTCTCCGTGATGACCCCTTTGACCACAACTGGCCGTCGCTGCCTCAGCTTCCTGGTTTGCACTACTCCATGAATGAACAGTGTCGCTTTGACTTCGGTGTGGGCTACACAATGTGCACCGCGGTAAGAGATCCCCATAGTCTGATAGTGACTTTACTAACACTGCGCTAACATACTGAAGGCAACTTCTACAACAGTTGCCATCAAGTTTACCATCACTTTAGATGAGGCAGTTTGTCAGAGTTGGCATAAACTCACTTTGAAGTCTGTTAACTCAGAATGTGCTGAATTTTACAGTGGAAGATACATTTGTATGGGAACTCTTGAGCTCTGAGGGTTTTCCTAGTGACCTGAACCCAGCACTGATCTATCTCTGCTTTACACTATAATGAAAGAGTCACACATACACAGCTATTCACATTCTTCTGATGTCCTCTGCTTTCCTCTCCCGGCCACTGGTGGGATTGGCATCTTGCTTAAAAGCAGGTAATTGGTTTTTGTAGCTATTTCTTTTTTTCCATTATTAATGTTAATTATAATAAGGAATATTTGTTTAATGAAACACCCACATTTAACACTTAATACCACAGTGCTTTTACATGAACCAGTCACAAGCAGTCTTTTTGTAAACACAAAACATCAGCAGTAGACGAGCTCCACCCAGCTTCACCACCTTCCCCCTGTCACGCTCACTCACTCTATGACTGTGAAACCACTGTGGCGTGCTGTTGGGAAGCTGTTGCTTGATTGACAAAGGGCTTGTTCAGGGACTTTGCACACATTGCTAGATTACCCTCTATTCTCTTGTCAAACCCATTCCCCTCAGCTACAAAAGGCGGGCCAGTCTGGAACGCAGGTAAGGTAACCCCACCTCCCGGAAGACATGTGGCCCGTCATTTGTTTTCTCAGATTTTTTTTTCTATTTGTCCTCTGAAGTTGTAGCTGTTTGTAATGTTGCTCCTTACTTTTCTTTTTTACTGTACTTTGTTTCTCTGTTCTACCATCGTCATATTTTGGACGTTAGTCTGCAGGATTCTAAAATGCTCATTTCCAGAGAAACTAGCTGTAAAATCCCTAAAAACACTGTGACTCTACTGGTTCAGTGGCTACAGTGCAGTTCAACAGTTGAACCGTACCATATCCTGACTTTTATCCTGCAAATATGTGTTAAATCACAGCAGCGCTGGCAGGAAGAGCCTCATTATATTGGCACACTCACAACTATAAACGAGTGGAAAAGATTGGAAAGAAATCTTTCCCATCCAAGGGGAAAGAGCCGAGCCAGAACAGAGGCTGTTTTTCCATGTTTCACTTCAGCTTTTAGGATCCTCCAGTCTGATGTCATTGGTGATTACCTACCACAGTCTAGCCATTGATTGTGACTCGCCCCTGACCTGCAAAGGTCCCCTGGGGTCATGGTGGGTAGGAAAGTCTGTGGAAAGGAGGGAGGAGGGCACGGCCCATCAGACACTGGACTGCAGGTTGGTTTGGTGGTGGCCTCATCATCAGACAAGGAAGAGAATTTGGTCCATGATCTGTGTCTAGAGGCATTTTAGAGGTCAATGGGACGTCACCTTTTGGCCTTTTAACCTTTTGCCCTCTGCCCTCTGACCTCCCTTGTGTCCTAATTAAACCACAGGCTGTCTCATTCTGAGAGTCTTGTCTCTCTCTCTCATCCTTTGGTTTAGTTTGCATGACTGGCTGTGTGTTTCTAAGTGGAGCGTAGTGTACAGTGCCATGACACAGTACAGGGTCATTGTTTTTATAATTGTTGGGTATAATACTGTTGTGGTTATTGTTGTAGTGATACTTCTCATCTCTATTTGTATTATCTAATTTCAGTGTTTAGTCTCATTCCAGCTGTCTCATGACAGTTGGTTTGTACTTTTGAAGGTCAGTCTGTTAAATACTGTGTATGGTAGGACTTTAATTGTAAGAAGGAGTTTCTCTCTGTGCCCTGCAGTATCGCACATTTGACCCATGTAAGCAGCTATGGTGTAGCCACCCAGACAATCCCTTCTTCTGCAAGACCAAGAAAGGACCCCCTATTGATGGCACAATGTGTGGGGATGGGAAGGTATTAATAGGCTATTGTGCTTTAATATACATTCTGTCAATGAAATAAAATTTAAATGCACACTGTGTCCAAATTTCAACTTGTATTGTATACTTGGCCTATTGTAGCACTGCTTTAAAGGTCACTGCATCTGGTTGACCCCGGACATCATAAAGCAAGATGGAAACTGGGGTTTGTGGAGTGAGTTTGGGCAGTGCTCCCACACATGCGGTGGAGGAGTACAGTTTCGCACACGCGACTGTGACAATCCTAGGTATGAACATTTCCCAGTATTTAATAAATATATATACATATGTGTGTGTGTGTGTGTGTGTGTGTAAAAATTGCAGGTTTTTAATCTGTGATTAATTATGCCAAATTCAGCTGAAGCTCTAAACTTTTTTTAGCAAGCACACCTCTGATATGTGTTGCACTGGCTCTTGATAGTGATAATTGCAGAGAGGCAATTTACTCTATTAACGTAGATAAAGATCTTATATAAGTGTTCTATGCATAATTTCTAACCCAAGTTTCCAATGAATATGAAACACAACGCATTGTTAATAAAAATAATGTCCTCTGCCCTGCCTGCCTCTCAGACCAGCCAATGGAGGCCGTCCCTGTGTGGGGACAGCTTACCAGTTCCAAATGTGCAACACCAACGAGTGTGAGGATATCTACAGTGACACGCGAGAGGAGCAATGCCACGCTTGGGACCCTCGCTTTGAACTCAACAGCAACAAGCACCACTGGCTGCCTTACGAACACTCAGATCGTGAGTATCCACCTATACTCTCCACCACAGATGGAGTGGGGATGAAGGGGTTTGGTGAGATGGATGCAGACAATGGCTGTCATAACAAAGATGATACACTGTGGAAGTTATAAATACAAATGAAAGCTAAACAGAGGAAGTAAACGCATAATTCCTGAAAAAAAATGCGGTTGGGTTTTCGAGGGTTTTATATATAGGTTGTGTTCTGTTATGGTCGTTGGCATCTGGCTGTCCTGCTGAGTCTGAGTACAGCTTTGAGCTACGGCTACGCCCTCCCATAAAAACACAGAATCTCTTTAAAATCTTTAAAAAAACAATCTTTTTTTAACTTGGTGTCTTCTCTTTCCCCACCCAATTACTGCTGTCATTTGAACCTCACTAACCGCCTTTTCCTTCCTCTTTTTTTTTCTGCATCCATGTATCAGTATGGACAAATCACAGTGGGATCCCATCCTAAAGTTCTCCACCCAATATCCAAAACTTATTTACTGTACTTTATTGAGAAGTAAAATGTGTGTGTGTGTGTGTGTGTGTGTGTGTGTGTGTGTGTGTGTGTGTGTGTGTGTGTGTGTGTGTGTGTGTGTGTGCGTGTGTGTGGTTGTCACACCCACCCTGTCTCTAAGTGGAGGTGTCACTGCCTTCCTGATAGGTATTAAATTATCATCTAACTAAAGGGCAGCACTAGAGAAAAGTGCTGAGCTGTCTCCATATCTAATCGGAGGTCACGCTGCGCACACTCCGCTAAGAGGGGCCTTACTAAATAGTTTTTCTCCATTCTTATCATTTCTAAATGCCATATTTTTCAGCAAGGCTTTCTCAGTCTCAAATTACTTTTCCGCGAGTGTGTGTTGGTGTGCGAGCACAGAAGTCTGTGTGTGTGTGAGTGAGGAAAAAAGTGAACTGGGAGGTGAAATTGAATTCCATTCATGGTCTGTCATCTCCAGAGTTCTAGATGGTGTGAGGAGAGAAAAAGAGTGTGTCTGCTTCGTGTGTGAAATTGTAGTATTTGTTTAGAGACGTCTGACACTGTTGCTTTTTTGTCTCTATTTGGTTCTTCTCCCTTTCAGGGGATCTCTGAGCCTTTAATTAATACTTGCATGTTATTGCTTTTATTGTTTTCATATGTTTTTATTTCTGTTGTCATGTGTCATCGTGTGTTGTAAAATTTCCCCTTAATTTTGTCTTGCTTTTGTTTGGCCCTACTGGTTGGCTTTCTGTTGTTATACTGCCTTCTGGGAATTTGCTTTGCTTTGTCAAAGCACCTTGTAAACTCTGTTTTTAAAGGTGCTATATAAAGAAAGTTATTATTATTGTGCTGAAACGTTGAAAGGTGAGGAGCAGCACGGAAAATGTACCAGCAGCTAATGTGCAGTGTTTCTTGCTGGTGCGTGGAAAATATAAATACGGGCTTGTTAATATATTTAACCTCCGTTCTGTTACTGAATATCTCCTTTGCCTTTAAAGTCCAATAAACATACAGTAAACCATTCAACATGCAAAATAAAAGTCTTCATAACCATATTCATATCCCTAAAACCACAAATGGGTGGCTAATACAGACATACTCTGTTTTAGAGGTATATATAAATCTATAAATATATATATGTATCTATTTACACTGTGACTCACAAATACAATTAAGCCTGTAATGCACATGCATGGCACACGCCCCCTAAATTATCATAGTGTATTCAGCACACTGCAGAAGAGAATTCATTCAGATCACTAAGTAGGAAATTCATATATTATTTCTGTGCATTTTCAGTGTGTTTTTGTCCGCATATTATAATTCTACAGTAGCATGTCTGCCACCTGCTTATTAGTGTCAAAGCACCATAAGACAAGGTCTCTGGATTATGTCCATCTGTGATAAATGGGATGAAGTAGGAGTGTTCGTTCTCGCTGGGATGAACTGCCAGGTTTTGTCTCTGGAGGCTCATGTAGTCGTAGTATGAGTCACACAGACAAACACAATGAGACAGAGCGTCACGCTGACTCATGGAGGGCTCATTCAGAAAATATGAAATAATCACATGCTGGCTGTTAAGATTAAATCATCAAAAAGGATCCCACATGTGCCATTCCAATTATATTTAAATTATATCCATTCCAATAACCATTTGAATAATTGGGTCATTGTTGTGTGTTTGTGTTTGTTTCCCAGCTAACAAACGCTGCCACCTGCATTGCCAATCCAAGGAGACACGAGACGTGGTCTTCATGCAGAGAATGGTTCTGGACGGCACACGCTGCTCATACAAGGACCCCTACAGTGTGTGTGTGCGTGGGGAGTGTGAGGTTAGTGACGTTATGTGTGTGTGTGTGTGGGTGTGTGTGTGTGAGAGAGAGAGAGAGAGAGAGCAAGACATCTGCAGGTGGTCAGATCTACATGTGTTAAACTTTCCATGTCCTCATGAACAGAAAGTGGGCTGTGACGGTGTGGTCGGCTCTTCAAAGCAGGAGGACAAGTGTGGAGTTTGTGGAGGAGACAATTCCAGCTGCAAAACCTTCAAAGACACCATCACGCGTACTGCCAAGAAACAAGGTAAACACACACTAACAGTAAACATAATCCATATCTAAATCTAGGACAGACTTGACGTGGTTCCATCAGTGTAGCAGCTGTCTATCATGCTGTTACTGTAAGTACAGGATAAATAGTTGGCCAGAGTAATTTGCTTATAGTCTGTACAGGTTTAGTTATGTTCAGCTAAACATTGCCCCCTGGAGGAAGATTTGTAACATTGTCCAAATCTGAGCAGACATGTTTCCATGTAAGTCGAGCATTGCCATGAAGTTACGTCAAACCTCATTCTGTGAGCAAATGTTTATATTATCTCACTATTGACATTGTGACACCTACATTACTGCACCAACATTCCCAGAATCAGATGTTTACTCTGGATGAAAATAGTCACTAGTAAGGAGGGATACTTGGTTGAGATGAGTAAGAGCTCTTTACTGGATTAGCTGAGGTTCTTAAAAAGGAAACTGTAAAATGAGCTTTTGATGATGTTGAAGTCACAAACCAGATGTGTCCTTTCTTTTCAGGTTTCCTCAAAGTTCTTGAAATCCCCAGAGGAGCAAGGCACTTGCTGATCCAAGAGCTGAAAGCGACCTCACACAATTTAGGTATTTTAGATTGTACATTGTTTTCCTTTTCATTGTGTATATGCTGTACTTGTGTCAATTGTAAGTGTAAACAATATATGTTTCACACCTGTCTACAGCTGTAAAGAACGTAGCATCAGGACTGTTCTTCTTGAACGGGGAAAATGAATATCCAGAATCACGCTCGCTCATAGAAAAGGGCGTGGAGTGGGAATATGAGAATGACAATGACAAAGAGACACTTCAGACCACTGGTCCTCTCAGACATGGAATTCTGATCATGGTACACATTGAAATGAATGAAGATTTTGGTTATACGCAAGTGTTTCCTGAATACAAAATTATGTAAATTACACTCAGAATATCACTTTTTGTCTGAAATCATGTTGGTTATGTTTTCTCACTTATTTTATGACAATCTTTCTGTTTGTAGATGAAACTACATGGAGATGAGGATGTGAATTTGTCTTATAAGTACATGATGAACATGGACAGTGACTGTGCCATTCTGAACAACATACTGGTAGAAGACAGTGCCTACGAGTGGGCTCCAAAGAGATGGTCGTACTGCTCCAAGCCCTGTGGTGGAGGTACAGCAGAGCGAGGAAAATACTGTTGTGTATCTAAGATCAACTATGTGCATTTTGCAAGCTTATTATTATTTGTCTGTGCTTACATTTGTAAAAATTTCCATCCCCTGTAGGAAAGCAGTACCTGCGCTATGGCTGCAGAAGAAAAGTTGACAGTAAGATGGTCCACAAGAGCTTTTGTAACAAATCCAACATGAAACCTCGAGGAGACACCAGAGACTGCAACCAGAAGCCCTGCCCTCCACCCACGTATGCATTGTATTTTGTTTGACCAACTGTGAAAACATAACTTAATGAAACTAACAAAACTGTAATCCAGATTGGATCAGAACCTCTGTTTCTCTCTTTCCTGTGCTGTTGTCCAGTTGGGTGACAGGGGAGTGGCAGAACTGCAGCAAACAGTGTGGAAAAACTGGGATGCAAATCCGCTCGGTCAGCTGTGTCCAGCCCTCAGATGACAATACCACACGCTCCATCCACAATAAACACTGTAACGACAACCGGCCCGAGGCACGCAGACCCTGCAACCGACACCCTTGCCCCACCCAGTGGAGAGTGGGGCCATGGTCACAGGTACGCAGGCTGAACATGGATCAGCTAGAACCAGGAAAAGTGAAAAGAATGTTTGGCTTATTTGGGTTTTAGCAGGAAAATACTTGTACAAATATTTTTGTATTAAAGCCCAACAGCTGGTATTTTTGTTAGACAGTCAGTGTTTTAAATATCACAAGACTCCCTCAGAACTGTATTCTTGGCAGCTTTGACAAGCCTCTGAGAAACAGATCATATGATCTTCACTGTTACTACTTACAGTAAACCAAGGATGATGATTAAAACAACAGCCATGATGCTCATGTACTTTACATGCCTTTGTACTGCTTTACATTTTGTGAACTTAAAACATTTTACGTCCATATTTACCAAGTGATTTCTTATAATGTGTCAGTTTGTGTTCATGTCCTGTGTCTCCAGTGCTCAGTGACATGTGGTAATGGAACCCAGCAGAGGCAGGCTCTGTGCCACACCAGGGACAACACCATTGGCCTGTGCCTGGACAGTAAGCCCGATACCATCAGAGTCTGTCGCCTGGATCCATGTCCCAGTGAGTGTTAAGGAACCTCCAACCCATAGATAACCTGCCAGGGCAAACTGTACTGTGTGGAAGTAGACACTTAAATTACTTTTTTTTTTTTACACACAGTTGTCTTATAAAACTGTTTATTACAATGTAGATCTTTATTTCCATGCTTTTGGTCAACATATTCTATCTGCAATACTACATCACTGTACTGTCAATAGTAAACTGTAAATAGCCCACATTGTTAAAAAGAAGCGCAGTATGATGCATGATGCTGTGACCGGCAAGTACAACTTGTCGGTCACAGCAAACAAACAAACAGGCCCTAATATTAGTGTAGAAAAAAGAGGGGAAAGGTGATCACAATAACCATTTAAAGAGTTCTCTTCCTACCTTAACTACTCCATTACTCTCTCCTCTTTTCTCTGCAGAGGGCTCATCAGACCTCAACAAGAATGGCAACATCCTGATCCAGTGGCTGTCCCGCCCCAACCCCAACTTCCCAAAGATCTCCTCACGTAAAACCTCCCTCCATAGTTCCCAGCCTGGCCTCCACAGCGGCAGCCGCAGCTGCATGTCTGTCCTTTGCTGGGCCCTGCCCATCTCTGTCCTCTTGTCTCTGCAGGGCCGGCCTCGGCTGGCCCCCTGACCTGCCCCTCCCCTGCCCCGTGCCTGTGCCTGTGCCCACGCCCGTGAGCGAGCGGCAAAGCTTGTGCTTCTCTTTTTGGGGGGGGGGGGGGGGGTTGCCTCTCTCTCTGTGTGTCTGAGACGGCTCTGACTAGGGGGAGGTCTCTGGCTCCTGTGTGTGCTAGTTGGTTCTCTCTTGCTCTGTCTCTCTCTCTCTATCTCTCTCTCTATCTCTCCTTTGTGGAGCATTGTGTTGTAACCGCTGGCCAGTCGAAAACTCAAAAGATCAACAAAAAATTTGATGTGAAAAGGATTCGAAGTGGCAAGGCGAACAGGTTTTCATTGGCACCTCCTCAGATGTGTCGAAGAGCCGTTCATGTGTGAGGGACCCCCTCTGCATTTGGCGGCCATGTTTTTGCGCGAGCTAGCTGCGTGTTGTCATGGGTTACCACTCCTGAGATGCAGCTGCGCTTATTTCTTTTTGTAGTGCACTGTCATTGTGGGGAGAAACAGGTGTGAAAATAAACAGAAACGGTATATAAATATCTATATAGAGAAAAAAAGTTATTAAAAAAATGAAAGCTTTATTGTGAATGTGATCTTGTCACAATGAGGACATCTTTGCTAAAGTGCTCATCTGACATCCTGGTTCCATTCGGGGATGAGAAACGGTGTCTCATTCTACGTTCCATTCTCAGATTGACAGGAACTCAGCACAGGGACAGGAAGTGACATCAGTAAACCTTTTGATTTTGGAGGGAGGGAACTGTGAGGTGACAAATCTCGAAGTAAAGGCTAATTTTAAAAAAAACAACAACAAAAAAACAGGGTAGTCTGACCACTTGAGGTTGCTTCCCATTTCACCTCATCATCAGCCATCCTCTCTTTGACTGTTATACTAAAGTTCAATAAATGCAGCTTATTTGTGCTTGCAGACTTTAAACAAATACATCTATAATATATTTGTATTTATATATACCTATAAATCTAAAACTATATGAGTAACAATAATATTAATAATGTTTTACCATGAATAAGCTGTAGCTTATTTGCCTAAAACCTTTGGACTGCTATTGATCGCTTAGATCCTTGACTGTTATGTGTATTTTTTTATTGATTTTACATGAATACAGATGAATATTTAATAAAGGTAAAGTGTTTCGGGGGGAAGGGGTTAGACCTATATTATGCAGGACTTGGTCAGTTAGTTGCCTCTCCATTCTCTCAGATGGATCAGTGGTTTACTGTCGCTTCTTGTTTTCTTTAAGGATAGGATCACGTTTTGTCATGCACATTTGCATCCATCACCTTTATGTATGCGTATACGCGCGCGTGTGTGTGTGTGTGTTGTGTGTGTGTGTGTGTGTGTGTGTGTGTGTGTGTGTGTGTGCGTGTGTGTGTGTGTGTTTGTATGTGTGTGTGTGAGTGTATTAGTGGATCTGCGTGTGTTGTCTACTTGTATATGGGCATGGATGCATGTGTGTCTTGTGTGTAAGCTTCAATGAGTAAACGAATGTGTGATTGAAAGATATAATGTCTTGTCAGTGAAAGTTTGTTGTGTGTGTGTGTGTGTGTGTGTGTGTGTGTGTGTGTGTGTGTGTGTGTGTGTGTGTGTGTGTGCGTGTGTGTGTTTGCATGTGTATGTGTGTAAGAGAGCTTCATCATTCGGGCTTATACACATTGCGATCAGATACAGAAATACCTCATAAACTTTGAGTTGAGAGCGTCTGATGATCTCATTTTATTTTGATGAACATTAACCACGTGAACAATGCCTTATCTTGGATTGAATGTAATGGCATTTATCTGTGAAAGAGATGGCTTTTCTCATTCAAAGTTTCACTCGGAATAGAGGCAGCTTCAAACCAACTTAACAAACTCACACCCGCCAACCATCAAACCTACCAAGGTGATGTTGGACCAATGTCTGACTACTGGGAAGGGTTTACAAAGGGCCTAGGGTATCGACACATGGCATCTAGAAAAAAAAAAACACTTCTGACTTGTCATTGTATTGTGATCACATATTTCTGTTGTGACTATGTAGCGAGCTATCCAAGGTTTCCTTCTGCTGGAGTTGGACTGTATGAGACCAAGCCACACCTAGCAGTGCGACTGTATATAACATTGGTGTTGACTGTATTTAATAATGTTCATGACTGTTATCTTCTTCTATAATATTCTATACTATGGGTAACTGTTTTGTGGCTTCACTGGCCTGCTGCGTGGGGCTGGCTAACGTTTGGCTAACGTTGAAGAAACATTCAGATGGACTACGTGCACTGCGTCTATATGCACTTTGATTTATCAGGGAAATTTTATTAATGTTTTGTAAATGTTTCATATGACACTTAATGTGCCATTCCAGTTTTTACATCATCATGGAAATTATGTATTTTATTTAAACAGCAAATATCATTTATGTACTTCATGTTATTTTTTTCCAATCGATAAACAGATTGACTGGTTGATTTCCAAGTAATGAAGTGTTTTACCAAAGTGACTGTGAACTTGTAACTTTCGATACAGTTGAATTATTTTTCTTAAGAAAAGAATATATCTATATATTGAGCAGGGGGGGCGTACATCTCATTGTTTCAGTTACTGTCATTCTCAACAGCAAAGTTGTATCAATAAAAATGTTTTAAAAAGTGTGATCTTTCTCTCACCAGGAATGTTCACTGGCTAGATTCTTCATCAGTCAAAATGTCAAACTTAGCCAGGAGAACAGTTATTTTTACTGTCATGTTACAAAAGGGTTAAAGTGGTACAGAATTAAAACTCAACAACTGAAAAACAATACACCTGAAACAAATGCTACATAAAGCTGTATGAGGAAGTCAGAATTTAGTTTAGACTTAAAACAGTTAAATTTACAACACAAGACTGGCGACCCTTCTTTTTCTATTTCAGTTGCTTTGGACTAATCTCATGACTACTCTTGATGTGTGGGTCTTTCTCCTCCTCCTCCTTCCTGCATCCTCTGCTATTGGTCTGGCTTTACAACTGTACTCTGCACAGTGTGGAACCAAAACACACACCCACACACACGTATGCATATGTGTACTTAAGCGAACATGCACATACTAATGCTAATTTAACATGTTCTTATTGTTGAAAATTATTTCACATACAAAGACATATCCCAGCAGTTGGACACATATACACACACACGTGCCTCTCCACAGTCTCTACTCCTGGCTGCACCCAGTCTCAGCTCTCTGTCCTCTCCTTCACAGGCCAGCGTTGTCATGGAGACCGCTCAGTGTTCTGTCGTATGGAGGTGCTGAAGCGCTACTGCTCTCTACCGGACTTCCAGCGTATGTGCTGCAAGTCCTGCAGCAATGTTACCATCGCAGAGCCTCCATCTAACTCCACCTCTAGATCCACCTCCATCCAACCAAGTGTTACAGCAACTCCACCCACCAGCACTCTTAGCTCTAGCTTTATCACCAAAGCTGTCATCACCACCATTTCAGCTTCTACCATCAATCCCTGGACTCATCCTCCTACCTCCACCACTGTTGTTCCCCATTTCACCTCTTCCCCCCTAAATGCCACACAAATGATCACCGCTCATCCTCCAGCTGCCACCAGTGCTCCTGTCCCCCCCACTACCTTTTCCACCTCAGTTATTACAACCCTTCCCAGCGTTACTGCTCACCCGCTGCCTCTGCCTACCCCAGATATAGACGAGAGCACAGATCTACAGTTACAGAGCACTACAAACAGTCCCACACACCTTTCAGCAACAGCCAGTCCAACTATGACAAATCCAACAGAAAGCAGTTCAAAAACAGACACCTGGCTAAAATCCAAGCCCAAAAACAATATACCACCAAAGAAACCCCCCAAAAAGATAATTCCACCTAAGATCAATCCAAAAAAGAATACAGCACTAAAGAATACTACAGGAAAAGGTTTTCCACCAAAGAGCAGTCCCAAAAAGAAAACAAATGCTAATCCAAAAAAAAAAGCAACTCCCAAAAAGAATACTCTCAAAAAGACCACTCAAGCTAATATTACTCCCAAAAAGACCACTCCGGCAAACACAACTCCCAAAAAGACCACTCTGGCAAACATAACTCCCAAAAAGATCACTCCAGCAAACAGTACTCCTAAAAAGACTCCTCCTATGAAGACTACTGTTAAAAAGACTCCTCCAGTGAAGAATACTCCTGGGAAAAATACAAAACCCACGCCCAAAAAGGAGGCCAAACCTAAAAAGAATATTCAGGTAAAGACAAAAGTTACTAAACAAACTCAAACAAAGTCAAATCCCCAAAATAACCCAAAACCGGGGCCCAAAAATACCACAAACTCTCAGGCCAAGGTTAATCAGAATAAGGCCACAGTGAAAAAGACTAATCCAAAAAAGAAAACACTTCAAACAACTTCTTCAGATTATACCACAGCTCCCACTCCATACACAAGTCCAGAACAACAAAGAGAGTACTTTTCTTCCACTATCTCGTCCAGCACTAGCGTATATGCGACAGCTACAGGCATGCCTTTCTCCGAGTCCAGAATCAATGTCACGTACATCAGTAACAACACAGCAGCTACAGATGAAACTCCGCTCTGGTATGATGATGCTTTAGCCACAACACCCAGCACTTTAGCCACAACACCCAGCACTTTTGATGATGTCATTAAACCAACTAGAACCGTTAATTTTGAAGATGTCAACATTGCTAGTGGAACCATGCCATATAGTGATGTCACAACGACCAGCAGCGGTGATGTCACAGTAAGCAGCGGGACCATTCTCAGTGGTGATGACATCACAGTGTCCTACGGCAATGTGGGAGTGATTAGTGACACCATGGTGTTAGACGACAGCCTCACCATGGTGATCCCGACCATCAACAGTGAGGATATGACAGACCTCACTTCCTCACCTTGGCTGGACCTGTCTGAGTACATCCCTGTGAGTGTCCCTCTTCCTACGACAACCTCAGACCCTCCCACAGCCTCACCTCCCACCTCCGTCAATCCAACAACAGAAAAACCAGCAATCACAATCATCACCACCTCTACTGTAAGACCTCAACGAAAACCAGAGGAGAACAGTGATAACAACTCCGTTGACATCATATACAACAGGATCATCGGCGTAGACAATGACATCTCCCAGAACAACGTGATCCCAAAGCGCCGGGTCAACCTTAGAGAAAGAACCAGGAACAAACGCATTCAGGAGCTTCTGGAGGAGAAGAGGAACTTTCTCCTCAGGATGAAGAGAGGCCACACAGCATGATAGACAAAGTCTTAACATTTCTCTTATGGAGATGAACATTTTCTTTACAGACTTTCATAAGCCCTGTTAAACCCCTTCTGATCTGCCATGATGCTTTCTATCAGGCCTTTCCACCAAAAAAACCCTCTCTGCCATATCACTATCGTGACAATCAGGTCTGTTGCAGACAGAGAATAGCATGGCCAAATGTTTGAACAGTTGCTTTGAGTAAAGAAAAGTCCTTTAGAGTACAGACTGTTGCTGATATGAAGCAAATCGCCCCGCCTGTGTAAACACAAAGACGACAAACAGCCGGGATGAAGAGTGTACATCCAGTTTGACCAGCACTTTACAAAGCCAAGCTTTGACCCCCCCGCCCAAACCACCCATAGTCTTATTTCAGGAGTCAATGATAATGTAGATAAGGTGTAATGTGGTTTTTAAAATTGATTTATCCCTACTGGCACTTATGGAGCAACAAAACATACCACCTACAATCCAAATCTCCATCTCCATGTTCAGCTCATTTCCCAACAAACAGATTTAATACTGCTAATCCCTGATTAAGAGCTACTGTAGGACGAAATGAAAATGTCTCCCTGTTAAGTCGCCAGCACCCTGAATAACCTATACAAACTGCAAATTGGCGCTTATGGAGGCCTGAAAGCAATATGTTAATTACTATCAGAACGTCAAAGTTTTTGGTTTAATTGATTTGTAAAGGTTTAACATTGCCTGGACTGTGTTTCCAAAGCAAAGGTTTGTCTGAATGCATGGGGTCTCATCTCTCAGGAAGGTCAGATACAGTATGGAAGACTAGTGAGGAACATTGCCAACCACTTGGTGCTACCTGAATTTTTATGATATGTTTTGACATGTAATTAAGCTAGATGGGAAAACAAAATTCAAAACGGCCAGTCAAGCATGGTGCATTTTATGTTAGTTTTGCTAAGAGCAATGTCCCTTATGCATTCATTTATGTACAAAAATACAAAAATATAACGACAACAAGCCCGTTTGTATTAACTGTATCCAAATAGAAGCTTTGAGGGCCACTTTGTTTTCTTTTGTAAAAGTTGTATTATTGGTACATCTCTAAATAGTGAACAGCAGCTGCAAAAGCACCAACGGATCTGTCTGTACGATATCTGTACATATGAAAAAGAACTTAATGTTTAATATTTATTAAAGTTTAAGTGCCTGTGGTATTTTGCAAACTGTCAGTGTTGTGTGATTTGTGTTCCACTGACTGCACTTTTTTTTGTCTTTTTGGCTGCAAACAGTAGGTGACACTGCTGCTGTAAGTCTCACTGCTGCACCAGCTTCAGGTCAACCCAGTGATATAAGACTTCATGACATCTAACTCAGTTTGAGTCAGTTCATTATCAACAGCATTCTAACAAGCTGTTCTTCAATCTATATTTAACTCCCATTTGCAAAGTAATGCAATCTGGCACATAAGGGGCAACATAGCACTTCATGTTCACTGTATTCATGTTTGTGTGAGTCTCAAACCAGCCTTTTTATTGCTTTACATTCATCTTGACTCAGAATATCAGGTTAAGGAGATATCAGGTTCTGTCGACTGACGTTATTTTCAAAATATAAATTCACTGATTACTAAAATGGCGTCTGATTTAGTAAAGATAAGTCTCTTCATTATTGATGGAGCAGCTCCAGTAAGAGACAAAATGTCTGACTTTGGTGGAGTTGTTTACACCCCTGGGATTCAAAATTTAGCCCAGGAAATGACTTGCCTACATTTTTTCCAAGGGGAACACTTTTCTATGGAAGGTTAAAATAATAGTGAAAATTGTTCATACCAAGGTCCGGAGACTGTTTCTTAAATTACACGTTACTATTGACTAAAAGAAGACTAAAAGTCCTAAAAGATTCCGTTCACCTCTGTTGTATTGCGGAAGTGGATAATCAAAATAAAACACAATGTGTATGGCTAGCTAGAGGGAAACCTTTCTTTCCTGTTTTTTCTCTTTAACATGAGATGAGCCTGATAGCTGTATTTCTATGAGTAGAAACACATTTAACTCCAAGGCTCAGTATCTGCATCTAGTTATACTCAGGTTGATTTTGTGGAAAGAAAAAAAAAAGGCGAGTCACTCTATTCAAACTCTGGCTTATTGAATGTAAAAGAAAACAATTTCAATTTGCATTGTTTCAATATGTAAATATGTAAGAGTTGAGGTTGACCCTTAATTGTTTACATCTTTATAATCTCTTGTTTTCCGTAGTTGGCCACAACAGGCATCTGTAAAGTGTCCACACCACTCTTGTTACATGTCATTAAAGGTTCCACTGTGTCAACATGACACATGGCCATCAGAATATTAGATTACTCATCAGTTCTTGTCAGGAACGCAGTGCAGCAAATTAGGATTGCGTGGTCAATAATGCAAACTGTCTGTTACCATTGTCCCCCCTGGGAGAACAAAGAGTGTAGTGTACACCCTAATAATACCAGAAAAGAAATGACTATGGTCTAACATTTGCACCCTCAAAAGTTCAGTTGTTATATTTTTGTGGTTTTGGGGGAAACTGTGTTCAAAATATAAATAAATATTTGTTAACAGTAGGGGCTGGTTTCCAAGCAAGGTCACTTGTACCTTGTTAACTGCAGAAACAATCATTATTTAAACACTTCACAGCTTCTCACCAAATACAGTCTAATGCCAGCCCTCAGAGCCAGTGAATTGTTGTAGGGGTAGTCAGGTAGAGGTCAGTACTCACTTTGCGTTGGCAAAGAATGTCTTAACTTCTGCATGGTATGGCACTGCACGGAGGTTAGATTATTATGTGTGCTTATGGCCAAAATATTTATTTGTGTGGATATGTCGCCAGTTAGCGAGAAACAGTGACATTTTATTTATTCACGATTATTATGTTATTACATTATTAGCAGCTTTCAGTAATTTTGTAACTTGTAACTGAATATTGGTTGGGTTCCTTTGTTCCTGTTCTTAGCATCACTGTTTACAGACCCATACATGGGAAACTATTGGCCTTTTGTACATTTTTTACTCCTCTTCTGTGCAAAAACACCCACATTATTAAAAGGCTTATCATTTAGGCAGGCAGGCTTGGATGTTTATTTCATTGTCCTCTCCAACTCTATCTTCAAATGTCGGAACTTGAAAACTGAAACTGTTTTGATTATAAAAATACTGTAAGGCAAGGCAAAGCCAGGCAAGTTTATTTGTATAGCACATTTCAACACCAAGGCAATTGAAAGTGCTTTAGTTCAGTGTAAATTGGTGTGCACTGAACTAAAGTGCCATTTAACATCCTTCTGGTCACAGAGAAACACAGAGCTCTTCCAGTTACAGTAGGTTCCCCTTCGAGGGAACTCGAACTGCGTCGGTGACGACACTACGGGAACGCCTCTGGGCGTGGCAGGGCTGAACTATGAATGAAACTACTCCAATCCTATTGGTGTTGCTAGAACGGTAGCGTATGACGGCGTAACCAGAGGGGTATATAAGCACGCCGGCACACAGGACACATTAGCCTTTTTCTATTCAGCAGGCACTCTGAGTATGTTTGGAAGCTCCACTATCGAGAAAGTTGTTGTCTTACCTGGAAATCCTGACGAAGCAGTAGAGACCATGTCTGGTAATCAGTTCCGACAATGTGTTTTTCCATGCCCATGCTACATCGCGGCTGGGGAGACTCATGAGATGTGTGTTCCTGTCTGGGGATGTCGCAAGCCCTCGTGCGGCTCTCTTTCGGAAGACGGTCGGATGCGCTCACACCCCGTGGCTCAGGCCCCGCGGTTGCTGAGGCGTTGCGGCGGCTACGGTCATGGGGATCGCAGCGTGATATCTCATATCTGGACCCAGACCGGCGGAGGAGATACGGCGGTTAGACGGCGCACTGTCCCCTGTGATTCTCCCTCTCGCCCCCCGGCCCCGCTAGGGCTGGATGCCATGGTGCAGACGTGGCCGAGGCTGTGTCTGTATGCGTTTCCCCCAGTCGCTCTGTTCCCGGGTTATCTGGAGCGGGTCCGTCAGGACGGCGTCAGTCTACTACTAGTAGCCCCGTTTTGGCCAGCACGAGTGTGGTTTTCGGATTTAATATCGCTCCTCGAGGGCCCGCCCTGGCAGGTCCCTCTGAGGAGAGACCTGCTGTCCCAGCCGGAGGGCCGGATCTTTCTCCCGCACCCCCGCCATGTGGCAGCTATGGGTCTGGCCCCCTGAGGGGGCGCAGTTCCTGGAGGCGGACCTGACGAAAGGAGCAGTCGAGACGCTGCTCAGTTCCAGAGCCCCGTCCACAAGAAGGATGTACTGCCTAAAGTGGAATGTGTTCACCACCTGGTGCAGAGAACGGGCGGTGGACCCACCTGCTCGGTAATTATGATACTGGAGTTCCTCCAGCACCGTTTCAGCATTGCAGCATTCCACGCCCTTCTGAGTGATGGGCCCTTGGGGAGGCTTCCACTGGTCGTGCGCTTCCTCTGTGGAGCCCGGAGGATGAGACCCGTGACTCATTCCAGGGTTCCCACCTGGGACCTGGCAGTGGTTCTCGAAGCGCTGGCTGAGGCCCCCTTTCGAACCCCTGGAGTCGGCTGAGGCCAAGCACCTGACCCTTAAGATGACCTTTCTCCTCACTATCACCTCTCTGAGGAGGGTTGGGGATATCCAGGCACTTTCGATTTCTCCCCGATGCCTGGAGTTTGCCCCGGGGAGGTTCAGGGCCATCCTGCACCCTTGTCCAGGTTATGTCCCTAAGGTTCCGGCCGGGTCCACGGTGCTGCAGGCGTTTCATCCCCCACCTCATGTGACGGCGGAGGACGGGAGACTTCATCTGCTCTGCCCTGTCAGAGCACCGTGTATTTACACTCTGAGGTCTTCCCGGTGGAGGAAAGCAGACCAGTTGCTGGTGTGTTTCAGGTCCCCCAAGGCTGGGCTCCCTGCTTCTAAACACACCTTCAGCAAATGGATCGTTCAGACTATTTCCCTGGCCTATCAGGTGCGCAGTTTGCCTTCACCTATGGCCGTAAGGGTGCACTCTACTCGAGGCATGGCGGCTTCTTGGGCCCTCTTTGCAGGGGCGTCACTCCAGGATTTGTGTGACGCGGCTGGCTGGGCCACCCCTCACACTTTCATCCGGTTTACAGTCTGGACCTTCCTTCTGCACCCGGCACCCGTGCGCTCTCCTCCTAGTCGTGCCTTGCTTCATAAAAAAGGGCTAATGTGTCCTGTGTGCCGGCGTGCTTATATACCCCTCCGGTTACGCCGTCACACGCTACCGTTCTAGCAACGCCAATAGGATTGGAGTAGTTTCATTCATAGTTCAGCCCTGCCACGCCCAGAGGCGTTCCCGTAGTGTCTCGTTCCCCTTCTCGGGGAACAAGGGTTACATACGTAACCCGAGACATTTCTGAGACTTATCAATATAGGTCCATTGAAAAGCAAATAGCCTGTAGCAAAAAGTCCTGTCACTTTCGTTTAATGATGTGTCCGACTTTACAGCAGTTCCTGTTGTACAAATATTGTGTCTGATGGAGCACTAACTGCTAACGTAGACTGAACCTTCCCTGCTGCTGCTACTTCATTGCCAAAACTCAGTTTGGCTTTTATTGCAAAGCAGCCATAGTAAATGCAATTTTATTGCCACTGACATTAAAAGAAAATAAAAAATTGGCGACTGGAAACATGGAGCTGTACGGCATGTGGGGTAGCCAGACTTTAGCCAGGCCATTCCCAGGCTACACTAATACTCAGAGCCACAAACTGGAAGGTTCAGTAGTCTTTTTTTTTTTTTCATTTTCTAGTCTTGTGAGATGAATTGGATCCTGTTCTCGTGAAATCCAATTTGTCTGTTTACTTCTCCTTTCTTTGAAAAAAAAAACATAACAAGCTCATGATAACTCTTGTGATTCATTTCTGTCAACTTACCCCTTGTGCTTCATAATCAAGGTACAAGGTGTAAAAAGTACAACCGTGACACAGTCTGATGATCACTGTTTCGGAGACGTGTTGATCCAATTCTGTTGATTTTTTTCAGGTAATATTGTGCAGCTTTGTTGCAATGTATTGAAAGTCTTGATGCCATTTAAATGAATAAAAAAATGAACACCACAAGCTTCATAAATCTAGTCTTGCAATGTTATTGTATTTACTATTACTGTATTATATTGTAATGTGCTCTTGATTTTTGCTGCGATTAATCTTTTCCTAAAAGATATTTCCAAACATTTCATCTCTTTCAGAGAAAGCTCCCCTCCCTGCCCTGAGGACAACTGTATGACCATTTCTCAGAATCCCACTGGCAGCTGGAAGCTCAGTGCTAGAAATCAATAACCAGGCTCAACAATCACAACCTTTCCATTCATCTATTGTTCAACTCAAATTGTCCAGCTCTCTCCACCTATATATTGAAGCTTTTATCAGCTATAAAAAAAATGTAGGTGTGAATAATGCATAGGTGTGAATAGTGCAGGTAATGATGGCTGAATTCCATTTAGCTGCTTCACTTTGGCATTTTTCATGCTGGCTCACTGTTAAAGAGTTGGTATTATGCTCATTTTCAGGCTCAAATCTTATTTAGGGGTTGTACCAGAACAGGTTTACATGGTTTAATTTTCAAAAAACACCATATTTTTGTCAAACTGCACATTGCTGCAGCTCCTCTTTTCACCACGTGTGTTGAAGGCTTCGTTTTAGCTATGGAGTGATACATCTTGCCTCTACATAATCTTTGTTGGGAGTTGCACATGCGCACTTCCTAGTTCAGAACTACTAGCCAATGAGAAGCAGAGAAGGGCAGGTCAGTGATAAGCCAGTAAAGGTGGCTTCGGTTCAGCTGTATATGTTCCCCTTACCAGCTTAGCAACATGGACTGGAGCAAGAGTTTTAGAGTGGTGAGTTATTAATCTGTAACAAAAGTATCTTTCATCCATAAGCTTCAGCTCAGTGTTTTTTCCACCACGACATTTGTCGGACTAGTGTTTGGCGCGCATTTTGCTTTCATCCCTGTGTCGTCAGAAGGATGAAAGGGAAACGGCTGGACTACAAACAAGCTGCTTTCAGGCAGTTCAGAGCAGAGTTTTCTGTGGGAGATGGGAACTCCCTCTGGGCTGGACTTTGGGCTTTTTCACTTTGCAAACCTATTACATGCATAAAAAAGATATATAACTCAATAAAGTAGTGGGAAAAAGCCAAAAAGAATAATACCACCTCTTTAAGACTTACTTTTACACTTGAATAGAACAGAGCCATCACTAATGTTATTGGGAACACCTGTGCTTTTCCTGGGGCTACAAAGAGAAAAAAAAATGAGTTGTGTTTTTTTTACTCACAAGAATACATAATTTTTTGTTTATATGCCAGATCCCAATTCTTCAAATCTATGTGCTGCGGTGCATGGGCAGGACCATAACACTCTATACATGTACATGTGTATGTATATAAACATATAGTCACCTGTACAGCATACTCGCAAAATATATACAGGGTAAATACTGTATATTTCCTATGTGTGCTGAAATAAAATATAGAGCTACAGCGGGCTCTGGATTGGTGTTCAGCTGAGAGCCATCAAAAATCAACGGAACTCTTTAATATGCCTTCTGATAAGACAGCTATCTCCCTGTAAACACACCAACTACAATTGGCAACATGACTGGCATTTAATCTTGTGTGTGTTGTTTCTTTTATAAATGTACATCCTGCCATTTTATTTATAATTGAAGCCCAGTTAATGTTGTGCCTGGTGTTTTTCGTTAGCTGAATGCACATTGATAAATGCAGTCAGTCTGGTGCCCAAGATTCTGTCAACTATAACTGAACAGTGTCACGTGCCAAGATGTGCATGCGTCCGTGTGTGTGTGTGAGTGTGTCTTTGAGGCAAATTTAGTTCCTTGTGACTAGTCCATTAGAGACCCATAAAAAGCCAGGAATCTTTTTATAGGTTGGATGCAAAGAAGACGTGATCATCTGACTCATCAGAGGCCATGCAGCCCCCAACAGACAGACAGACACACACTCTATAAGACTGAAAGCCTTTTTCCCAAGATACAGGGCAGCTTCATAACTTAAGAGTCTGAAGCAGCATGTTCCTGTGTATAAATCCTCTGGTGAGCAGTCCTGTGATCCTACACAAATATATACACCATGTAAAATATTGATGACGGATGTTTCACATCATAGATAATGAATTACGCGTCTACATTTTTAGTTCTTTTAGTTCTATCTTTATCAAGAATATCTATATATAATTGCTACCTACTATAGAAAGGCCTCATGACTGCATATTGTGAAATGTGTATGCAATAATAGTTAGCTCCACTAAACTAACTTCTATTTAAAAGTTTCCCTGTTAGTTTTCTAAAATGTAATGTGTATAACTTGCTGTTCTAAATCAAATTTTTCTGCCAGTGGTCAGAGATCATGTTTGTGAAATTAACTCCTTTGAAATTCATATATTTATTACAAACCCATTTCTGAAAAAACACACACACTGGACAGAAGCCTGAATCTCACACAATGTCACATGACCTCAAAACAACCAAAGGAACAAGCTTCTCAATGAAAAGGATGTGAATTTAGTTTTAAATAGTAATCATACTCCTTCATCCAACCACTTGCTGCTCCATTTTTATTATAATCTTTGCTCTGAAGCATGACACAAAATCTGCTTCATTATTCATTGCTTCTAAATCTATCTTTACCCAGACATTCAAAAAGAGTGGTCTTTGCTGGATTTTTAGTGAAACCAAAGTGTTAGTTTACATAACCTGCAGTCTTAATGAAACACATTTCAGTAGCCTTCATAATAAAGAACACTGTGTGAAGGATCAAACAGGTGTGAAGCATCTTACTGATTGTGAAGGTGTTATTAATGACTGAGAAAGTCATCCACCAGAGTGAGATTGTTGAGTCAAGTGACTCATGCACTGCATTTGAAGCCTCGGGTGAAAGGCTTCCTGAAGCCAGTGGTCCTGTGATCTCAGTTATTGTGCACAAACACACACACACACACACACACATGCACGCGCAAGCATGTGCAAAGCTCTCACTTGTAAATTTCTTATCACAACGCATCATTTATTTTGGTCGTTGTGCAAAAATTACAGGGGACTGTGTTCACAGTCATTTTCAGAAAATAGCTTTTGTTGAAAAAATTAAGAAAAAATAAACCATCTCTTTTGCTCCGTTTTCCTGTTTTGTTTTTTCCTCTGTCTTCTCTTTCTCTCTCACTCTCATCACCCCCCTTTCTCTATGCATCTTAGTCCACTGTCTCTCTCTCTCCCTCTCTTCCCTCTTTCTCTACCTCTGCCTTTTTGTCTCTCCATCAATACAGTCAGCCAACAACAGCGCTGGGGCTGAGGAAATGGATGGTGTGTCTATTTTTGGAAGCAGGGAAGGAGGGCAAACCAAAAGTAAACTAGGGAGAGAGCGAGGGAGGAGGAGGGATGTGAGGAGAAGATAAATCTGCATTCTACAGCTGCCTCTGGTCAGAGACAGTTGGAGCTACAGAGAAGCAGCATCACCGGCTGGAGACACAGCATCATACATTTAAAACATACTCAGCTGCGAAAAGGCTGCAGGCTGATAATTGAGATTGCAAGAGCAGAGAAAAGAATAAAATAGCAACTGGACAAAACAAACACAGGTGAGTGGAAAAGCAAAATGTTTAGTGAAAGCTTACATTATTACTGAAAATTGCATGAGGTGAAAATACACAGGGTGCTTGTTCTGCGCTTCAGTCCAGAGCTGCTCCCGTGGAACCATTTTTAGCCGCTGTATACCGAAGGTGTGGTCTATATTTAGCAATGCTTACACCTTGGAAGAAACTGGGAGAGGCTGGCATTTTGGTTTGGCTTGCATTATTTTTAGCACAGAGGCTGAGACGAAAATACATTGTGGGCTGCACTCAGGGTTATAACAATATGGGGTTACATAACAAAATATAAGCTGACACATTCTGTGGCTTTACATGACTGAGATGGCATTTAAAATCGTCATCTATTCATGTTGCCTCATGCTGCTCTTGTTTGTATTTTTGGCTGTTTACACTGCCAATCTAAAGTAAGCAGGTGATGAAATGGGGAAGAGGAAGGTTTGCATGTTGATTTAATTTGATTGATACAGTCAGGGGTTGAAATAGATTGTTTGGAAACGCTACGGGCTACTAAGAGTAATTTGTCGTGTGAACAATATCCAGATGTAACAGCAATTGGAAAAACACATTCTTCAGATGAGGTATTTGCATAAAGGACTCTTTCAAACTCTGCTATTGGAGCTGGCAGCCACAGCCTTTAGCACACCTGGTCAAATTACATCATCATTTCAATTTGAGCTCTAACACTATCAGCCAATCATTGCCTGTGATCAAGTTACTGTGTTTAAATCTGTTTTTGCATGAAAAAACTGGATTCAGTGGATTTACTGTAAAACTAAACCCAAAACAATAGGAAAAGCCTTTCCTGAGGCGTACACTGTACATTATGTGTTCCCGCATTTTACAGATGTTGTTTGTCTCTAAAAGACAACCCTTTTCCTCCTCGTCTTTCTCTCAGCTATGCGTCTACGGTCCAGACTGCTGTCCAAGAGAAGACTCCTGCTGCCCACAATCAGAGAGGGCACAGAGGAGACGGTGAGGGATTTGAATGAGGCCAACACGCTCCACATCACTGGCCATGGCCAGGCTGTCTCCTCAGAGGACTACCTCCTCTCCATCTGCCACCTGGCTCACCCCACCTTCCCCACCTTGGATGTTTCCTCCTACAACATCCAGCAGCTGGACTCTGTGCACCAAAGACTGCAGCTCTCACGGCTCAGCGAGACTACATCAACCACCTTTGAATTCAACCCCACAGAGGAGGCGCATGCTATTGATATGCAGCAGGGAGAGGGGAAAGGACTGAATGGCGAGCTGATGTTAGGCAACGCTGACCCTCTGGAGTATCTTTATGGACACCAGAATAACCTCTCAGGGGGTGTGAGGAGGGCATTTGTTGAGGCGAGGTGTATAAGGCAACATGGGAGCACATGGGAGGGCCAGGCCCACTCCAGAGCGCTCAGCATCCCCCATGCTTCAAGTCCAGACCTCCAATACCAGAGCAAGAGCACCTGCCCTGAGTTCCACAGCAGCACTAACACTTCTGTACCAAACGTCTCCCCAAAACCAAGCTTATCCAGGTTGGATGCCAGAGGGAGCCCAGCAGTCAGAGGAGCAGAGGGGGGAGAGACAGAATCCAACCATGAAAACATCCCTCATATCCCAGTGGATCTCTGACTGCAGATTGGCGTGGAGGGAGGCGCGTGTACGAGTCTGCTTGCTGCCCGCCATTGCTGAGATATAGAGCGCAAATGGACAGACACTGTGAGCAAAGACATTCCTCAATAAAGTATCCTAATCTTTTTCTGTCAGTGAATGAAACATTGGTGTTAGGAGATATGTAGATGTGGATTATGAGAGAGAGAGAGAAATATGATTTAATAGGCTACACATTTAAAAACATGCAGAGGCAAGTAAATATTGTCATGATTGTCCATCTGTAATGTTACATCAATGTCATTATTTACTATTACAACCTAAATGCTTGATGTATGCTGGTGATCATACAAAATCATTAAAATAGACAATTCTGCAAAAAAAAATTTTTTTTACCCTCCAGTGATTTCTGAAGTATGAATAAATACACAAATCTTTTGATACTCTCAACCAAACTGTCTGTTGTGAGTCTTTTTCCTCCTGCCATGATCTGTGTTTTCTTGCACAGATTGAACTCCATTCTCGGCTCTGCTGGTGCCAGGCGTTGGAGTTTCTATGGTAACTGTCGTGGGATCCTGCTCCGGTAAACACAAGTGTGGAGAAACACAGGCTGACCACAGATCACAGCTTTAGTGGTGCGACTGCATCGACTGCATCGACTGCATCGCCTGCACGTCACAATCAAAAGCATTTCATGCCTAATAATTGTAAATTGACTGTACTTGTACAGTACTTCCGAGCACTCTAAGCGCTTTACACGTGTCATTTTCACACACATTCATAAACTGATAGAAGCTTCCAGACAAGGTGCCAACTGCTCATAACTTGAATTAACTAATCATTCACACACTTTGGGTTCTCTCCTGTAAGTCACAGCCACCCCACAGTTGTAATGAACTGACTAGTGAAGTTACTGATTCACATGAATACATTTCAATATTACAAAGAGCGGAAGATTCAGAATTTAATTGTCAGCTACTAGTGATAAGAATTGTTTCCATCTGAGTATGTTTCTCCAGTAAATGCACTTTAACAACACAAACAAAGCTTGGATGTAGTTTTGAATCTTAAACACAAGAGGGCAGACTCAAGTAAGAGAGCCTTGAAACTGAAAACTGGCACATCAGAGGTCACGGTAAAAGTGTCACCAACAGTAAAGTATAAAACATATCTTCAGGCATTGACCCATGCAAATGTTTTTATTTGACCCAGTTTTAAAATATCTGCCTCTGAGATTTCTGCCTCAGCACAATGAAGGAGAATCCTATTGTGTTACTGCTGGTTAAGAGACATGGAAAATTTAACACAACTATTAGCTTATTAGTGAACACTGGAAGAAACGTAGGAATGAAGAGGGGGAAACATACATATGATGGTTCCAGTAAGTGAAAACCACCTTCAGTGTCACAGGAAAATAATCTTTTGGGGGCTGGAAACTGTTGAAGCATCTCATGCGGTCATGTCGACTCTCAACTCTTTCTTTCTTTTCACACTTACCTCAGCACGCAGAACTGAAAGGCAAGGCCTTTTGTTACCAACTTGATAGTTAGTCAAGACACGTGGTGCCACGACAGTATATGAACTTTGATGACATTTTCACATATTTAATTTAATGTAAAATTATAAATCTGTCTTCCTGCCGGCTGTTTCAGACATAAATGTTTTAATATCGGATAATGCCCCCTATGGCTGTCAGGTTTCGTTTTTGTTACTGCTCTGCCTCTGAGGCTAAAACACCCTATTAAATGTCATTTATTTGTAAAACACCATTATTATCTTTAGCCATAATACATTTGAAAACATTCAAACAACATGAAAACTGAATAATGTGGTACCTTTAACAAATAAGGAATTGTCTCGACCATGCTGTGGAGGCGATAAACCACACTTAAGAACCACACAAAGGAACAATCCTAAAAAAAAATTAAAATAAAGTGAAACTTATGTGTACCCTTTTGACCTGTCTTTGTACAACAGCCTGAGGCAATAGGTCACTTACAATGCAGAGTTGTTTATTTATAAAGAAACTCCACAAGTCCAAAAACGAGACTAACTTATACAATGTATAAAATAATATACAGGCTGCTCCCACTTTGTGTAGTCATTGACTAATCAGGATTTGTACCCAGCAGTGGTAGTAGATATACAGTGGATGCGTGGTAGATGTGTAGTGGTGGAAAGTTCATTAACTATACTAAATGTATACTGTTATATTTAAGAACAATTTTAAAGTGCTAGTACTAGTAGTTTTCAAGTTCCTGGGAATCAGCATCACAGAGAACCTAAAATGGTCATCTCACATCTCCACACTGGTAAAGAAAGCTCAAAAAGACTGTTTTTCTTGAGGAAGCTTAAGAAGGATTAATTCCAACACCAAGTCTTTGTCAGCTTTTACAGAGGAGAAACAGAAAGCATCCTGACTGGAAACATCACAAACTGGCATGGGATGTGCATGGCCCAGGACTGGAGGGCTCTGCAGCAGGTGATTAAAACTGCTCAGAAGATCATTGGTACCCATCTCCTGAGCATCAGTTATATCGGCGAGGTGAGGTGCCTGCGCAGAGCCCAAAGGATACTAAAGGACAGTACCCACTCAGCCTGTTCACACTGCTGCCTTCTGGGTAGAGATATAGAGGTTTCTGCTGCCACACCAGTAGACTTTTTCCCCCAAGCTATCAGACTCTTAAACTCTAATTCATCCTCAGCACTGCTCCGTTGATTTATTAATGCAGATTGTCTGCTATGTAGCAGAAGGGAGTTACAAAACTCAATTTCCCTCTATAGCTTGTTATATTGTGAATAAACCTACCTACCTACTTTATTTGAGCATTTCCATTTTATGCTACTTTATTCTTCTACTTCATTGCATTTATTGTTAGTATTATGTATCTTATATATATACATACACACACACAACATAAACCCACTGTTAAAGATTAAACCAGGGTTTTTTAATAATTTTGGCTTCTTTCCACTTACACAACAGCTGAATTTAGCTGGAGCTGCCAGTTGTCTCATTTCAGATGTCCTAACTATAACCAGGAGCTACAGCAGTAAAATGCTTCTTACAGAATTGATGCATCATGATGTGTCATGTTTCTGCAGAATTAGCACTGCATGGCTTGACATTGCACATTGTAGAACATTGTTGCATTAGTACTGATTTTGTGTGTATTTAATTCAGCATTTTTTACTTCCTCACACTCTTAATCACATTGTATTTCATCAAAGCATTGTTGCTGATGGTAGAAATCATTTTTAAAATAAAATGAGAAGTGCAACTACACCATGCTGTAGTCTACAGAGGAAGAGACTCAGCTGACATTTTTAGTTCCTGTCGATTCATTCCTACTCAGGGTCACACGTTGTGGTATGGGCTTTTGGTTAAGAGCTGTGCTGCTTCAATAAAAAGGAAACATGAATTATTGAAGAAAGTTGGCAATCCCCCTGCATAACCAAAACCAACAGCTAATAGGGCAACTACAAAAAACAGCAATTTTCCATGAGCCATGTCCCTCATATATGCACTGCCACTGAAAGGTTGACTGCAGAGTCACACCTTTCTCTTCTTGTGCAAGACTGTATGATGTATGATAGAACAAGCGTAATGCTCACAGTGAGCTGGTGCACTCTACAGTACCGAATAAGTAAAACCTATGAAATATTAACTGAAAGTAAATATAGGTCAAGCTTCCTAAGAGCAGTCTGTCAGAATGAAAATGGAGTTTATCAAAGGTAGCAGCAGCATAATTAAGCAATAGCTCAGGACAGGCCTTGGTATACACTTATTATATCACAGTTAAGGAGCGTTATTCGGCCCCACGCGAACCATTGCAAACCACTATGTATTCACTAATTCCCCCGACAAGTCAACCAGAGCTTTGTGTTTTACAGCATTTCATTTGTTTTATAACCAGAGTTGGGCAGTAAAAACATTACTTTTCCCAGTAACTAAATAGTGTAACTAATTACTTTTCGAAAACGGTAATATTACTACTGGTTACTAAGGCAAGTAACGCGGCGTTACTCGATATTGAACGCACCATCCTTGACGTAAATCCACGACTGTGCGGCAACACAGCGGTACCAGACCTTCTGTTGTTCATGTCCGCTGATGCCAAAAACTAAAGGAAGAAAGGTGAGCGAGGTGTTCTTTCCACAGCTGTAAGTAGCTGCTGTCATTATTTTGTCACAGTCTAAAATGCAAAGAACATTGTCATCTATTGTAAACTCTGTGCGACCAGCAAAAACCGCGAACAATTCTACATCTGATTTATTGAAGCATCTGCTGAAGCAGCACAGCGACGTGAAACTTACAGAAAGAAACTCCAGCAGCTACTGTCACTGATGCTTGCACACTGGAAAGTAATATAGTAACGTAACTAGTAACGTAACAATTTACTTTTATCACCCAGTAATAAGTAAAGTAATAATATTACTTTTTTAAGGAGTAATAAGTAACTAGTAATATATTACAATTTCTGAGTAACTTGCCCAACACTGGTTATAACACAAATTGTCTTTTGTGACAGTAATTCACTCTTGCTGACCAGTGTTGTTTAGTCTGTACCATATGCAGAAATAGATGAAAGTCCCTTTCACTTGGCTTTTTTGTCAGGGAAGACCCATGTGTCTAAAATTAGCACAGCTTTCTTTTCTAAAGAATTCAGTTTTCAAGGGTTAATTAATGTTTTTGATTGATATGTATGATTGTTTATATGCTCCAACTTGCACACAAAAACCTTTTCAAGACTTTCCAATGGGATTGTTTTGAAAATACACTGTTGCCACACTTTAAACAGTCAGTTCAACCAGATAAGAGTATATTTTCACACTTAACTCTGGCGGTTTCCAAAATGCAGATTACTTTGGTTTTACTTTGAGATATCAATCTCCGAGGCTTCCGCCTTCACCCCAAAGCTGATAGATATCTCAAAACCTGCAAACCAAAACAAGTACAGTGAGAAAATGTGTTTTATTTATTAATTAATTTTTTATCATAGCAATCACCACACGGTTACTTGCTCGTTACAGAAAATTTAGATTTTCTGTTCAGTTTCAGTGTTTTTCACACTGCATTGCCTTTGTTTCATCCCATCTTCATGTCCTAAATACAGAAAAAAGAGAAGGGAAAAAAAAGTTTATCCATTAAAGTGAAAGAGGAAATAAAACTAAAACTACCACTAGACTATGCTTTCTGCTGAAACCAAGCATTTCCTTTCAAACATGTGCCCTAGGAAAGGTATATCATATCTGTTTAATGGTGCTGTTAATGTCTATGAAGTTGTACCAATTGTTGCTTTATTCATTCCACAAATGTCTCGACAGTGTAACTACCACGCAACTACAGCGGAAAGAATTGAAATAATGCTTGCCTTATTATTTTTCTGAGCACTCACACATTTGAGCTGGTGCTGTAAGTGCTAAAGGTGTTAACCACAGATGCACAAAAAAACACAGACGGAACCTGATGTTGTAAAAGATCACCAAGCCCACACTTTATGTTACAAAATATGAAATACACCACGCATATCGGAACTAACTTGATTTAAAATTCAAATTAAAACTTCAGTAGATCAGAAATGTAGGAATGTAATGCCAGATCAAATAATTTGGCATTTTTCCTGGTTATGGCAGAAGGGATATAACAATATGCCAAAATAAAAAGGGATTTAATGTGTCATTTTTTTCTTTTTCTTTATTATGGTATTTTAATGTCACTAAGACATGCCTTTATTTCAGTTGTGTCTTGTGATAATTGTATTAACCCCATGAATGCAATCAACCCAACTTGATTCAGTAGGAAGACACAAATGTCACTTTCCACCTCTGTACTCATAAGACATGATCTTAATTTTATATTGCAAATTGATAAAAAACAAAAACAAAACACAGGTAACCCAAATTTTCAAACAATTGTTACATGACCCATTTGTTTGGATCTTTGTTCTTTGTAGTGTCAAAATAAATGTGTGTAAAATGTCTAAATATATTTGTTCATAGGTTAGATGACAATTTAAACAGGTTTGACTTAGAAGTTTACATGTACATTCAGGTTTAGAGTGGAAGGAGGGTGAGGGTTTTTTCTTGTGGTTTTTGAAGTTTCACTTTCCAGAGTCAGAAAATTCCCTTGATCACAGGAAAGATGAGGTATGTGTCTAAAGACAGTATATAAGACGACCCTCAGCCTCTGTCCTTCACAGCACTTCTGTCAACAAACTTTGCTTTCTTTGACTCTAGCTGATCTCTCTAGCTGCACTAATTACAGCTCCTTTTCACCATCTTCACCACAAGGAACAAGATTTTCTAGCATCAGAGTCATCTGACCAAAGAGAAATCCAACAATGTCCAGCATCATGAAAGTGTTTCTGCTCCTGGCTGTCATGGTCTACATCTCTGAAGCCCAACGTAAGTTTTTATACTTTTTGGGCATATACAAATCTAACATACGTAAATTAATTGATTTTTATCTCGTCTTTGACTCTAGTCTACAAATCAGTAAAGCAACTATATAACATATTGATGAACTGTAGCTGTATAGGTACTGGTAGATGTGAGCAGCAATCTGTGCAGTGAAAAATATTTTTAATTTAATTAAAAGATTTTTATCTTGTCTTTCTCTCTAGTCGATGACTCAGGACAGCAGTGTCTGTGTCAGCGCATCAGGAAGGGAATTGCCTCAAAGTCTGAAGTAAAGGACATCCAGATATACCCAGCAACCATCTTCTGTGACAAAGTGGAGATTGTGTAAGTAACAATCAAATTGTTAATTAAGATTGTGAGATTTCAATGTGTCCTAATTAAAAAATGAGATTTGCTAATACAAGGCTTGTATCAACCTCAGCAAACCTGGCACTATAAAACCTAGAACGCTCCTTTGATCCATTTTTTAAAGATTTTATTATAGGTTTAAGTCTGGCCTCAGTTGTAGTGAACATTATGATGAACTCCTGCTAAAGCATCAATAGCACTTACAGCACATTTAAGGCATTTCACAATCACTAAAAGTACTTCTAGTTCTCAGTCTGCCTGCCTGAATCATTTATGTATGTGTTCATCTATTGTATTTGGAGAAGAGAGTTTGGCCTTTACTGAGTCACTTTACCTGAGCTGACCTTTTCTATCTGTTTCAACAGTGTCACCCTCAACAGCGGCCTTCGCTATTGCCTGAACCCCAAGTTGAACGCAGTGAAAAGACTCCTGGCTAACGTCATGTGAGTTTATTTGCTGACATGAATCCAAGCCTCACCGAACACTAATATTAATCTTCCAGTGAATTACCATATTTGTTTGAAACCGTAATTAGTGACATAATGCTTTCTCCACTCTGCTGTAATGAATCTAATGTGTGTCCTCCTCATGTCATTTCTAGGAAACACAAAAACTCTTCAACAGCCAGACCTACTGAGCTCACTTCTACCACACGCAGCACTAGCACAGCTCACATCTAATTCTCTCTTTACCTCCTCAATATGAAGCTCAGATGAACTCGGACCCCCAACAAAGGCACCTCAAACAAATGTAAAAGTGAAATGAATGACACTTTTTGTCTGTTTATTTTCTATTTATACTGATGTGCACTTACAGTATATTTCCGTTCTATTATATTTTCTTTTTATATTTGTATTTGTAAATACATTTTTGTGTGTTGTAAAGTTTTCCTGCATTTTGGTCATTTCGCGGTTGTTATTTTTTGATTAAATTTTTTTTTTTTTAAACAAGTGACCACTGAGTGATTGTTTTCTGTTCCAAGTCTGACACTGTGTCCTTTATCAACAGTGCTACCATGTAGTTCAGGGCTGCCAATGCAAGAAATACAGTATATGTGTCAGTTTACATATCCCGTGATCTTATCTTAGACTTACTTTAAACTAACCTTGAACAAGCGTTTGTGCTAAAATGTGTTTTGTCCCCAAAAGTAAAACCAGTAGTCCCTACTCCTTAAACATGAATGTGCCCACAACATGAAAGAAACACCAAATTACCTTAACTTTAACTAAAACCAAGTATAACCCTACATTACTTTTGGTTTTCCTTAAGTGGACCAGCGTTTTGACCACTAGTGGGAATAAGACATCCATCGTGACTGAGGCCTGAGTGAAGGAGGCTTGCGGGTGAAGACTCATATACAGTGCCTTGCCAAAGTATTCGGCCCCCTTGAACTTTGACCTTTTGCCACATTTCAGGCTTCAAACATAAAGATATAAAACTGTAATTTTTTGTGAAGAATCAACAACAAGTGGGACACAATTATGAAGTGGAACGAAATTTATTGGATATTTCAAACTTTTTTAACAAATAAAAAACTGAAAAATTGGGCGTGCAAAATTATTCAGCCCCTTAAGTTAATACTTTGTAGCGCCACCTTTTGCTGCGATTACAGCTGTAAGTCGCTTGGGGTACGTCTATATCAGTTTTGCACATCGAGAGACTGAAATTTTTGCCCATTCCTCCTTGCAAAACAGCTCGAGCTCAGTGAGGTTGGATGGAGAGCGTTTGTGAACAGCAGTTTTCAGTTCTTTCCACAGATTCTCGATTGGATTCAGGTCTGGACTTTGACTTGGCCATTCTAACATCTGGATATGTTTATTTGTGAACCATTTCAGTGTAGATTTTGCTTTATGTTTTGGATCATTGTCTTGTTGGAAGACAAATCTCCGTCCCAGTCTCAGGTCTTTTGCAGACTCCATCAGGTTTTCTTCCAGAATGGTCCTGTATTTGGCTCCATCCATCTTCCCATCAATTTTAACCATCTTCCCTGTCCCTGCTGAAGAAAAGCAGGCCCAAACCATGATGCTGCCACCACCATGTTTGACAGTGGGGATGATGTGTACAGGGTGATGAGCTGTGTTGCTTTTACGCCAAACATAACGTTTTGCATTGTTGCCAAAAAGTTCGATTTTGGTTTCATCTGACCAGAGCACCTTCTTCCACATGTTTGGTGTGTCTCCCAGGTGGCTTGTGGCAAACTTTAAACGAGACTTTTTATGGATATCTTTAAGAAATGGCTTTCTTCTTGCCACTCTTCCATAAAGGCCAGATTTGTGCAGTTTACGACTGATTGTTGTCCTATGGACAGAGTCTCCCACCTCAGCTGTAGATCTCTGCAGTTCATCCAGAGTGATCATGGGCCTCTTGGCTGCATCTCTGATCAGTCTTCTCCTTGTATGAGCTGAAAGTTTAGAGGGACGGCCGGGTCTTCGTAGAGTTGCAGTGGTCTGATACTCCTTCCATTTCAATATTATCGCTTGCACAGTGCTCCTTGGGATGTTTAAAGCTTGGGAAATCTTTTTGTATCCAAATCCGGCTTGAAACTTCTCCACAACAGTGTCTCGGACCTGCCTGGTGTGTTCCTTGTTCTTCATGATGCTCTCTGCGCTTTAAACGGACCTCTGAGACTATCACAGAGCAGGTGCATTTATACGGAGACTTGATATCACACAGGTGGATTCTATTTATCATCATTAGTCATTTAGGTCAACATTGGATCATTCAGAGATCCTCACTGAACTTCTGGAGAGAGTTTGCTGCACTGAAAGTAAAGGGGCTGAATAATTTTGCACGCCCAATTTTTCAGTTTTTTATTTGTTAAAAAGGTTTGAAATATCCAATAAATTAAGTTCCACTTCATAATTGTGTCCCACTTGTTGTTGATTCTTCACAAAAAATTACAGTTTTATATCTTTATGTTTGAAGCCTGAAATGTGGCAAAAGGTCGAAAAGTTCAAGGGGGCCGAATACTTTTGCAAGTCACTGTGTATATATATATATATATATATATATATATATAGTTCTTTGGAAGAAGCTAGCTCAATATTCTCAGTATAGATATGGTAGAGGTTGTGAAGAGACCAAAGAAGAGAATGTCGGATGAAGCAAGGAAGAGAAAAAGTTGGCCAAACAAGAGACAAGAGTAAATAACGGACTAGCATTTACCTTGGTGTGAGCTAATAGAGCAGAATGGATGCCGAGCTGGCCTTTCCACAGTTGGATAGTAAGTAATAACTTATTGTGCTGTTATGCTTGCTTGATGTTTACCTGTGTTAGTGTAGCAGTTGCATTGTGTAGGACAGTAAAGCACGTTTGGTCCTGTCGCGGTGGCAGCCCGGCTGACGGTGAGTGCCCTGTGCTATTTTTTCCCACGTGGACTCGGGGAGAACATGCCAGCCAAGTTTCATGTAACATTATGCTGCTCTTCCACAGGAAACAAACCTGCTTTTATCAGCAATATAGCAACATAGCAGTCACCTTCTTTTGCCTTTAAGGTCCTTTATCGTTCTTTTTAATGGCCATGAGTTGTCTAATATCTGTAATCACAAATGGCATAGCACATTACAGGAAAGTACTGTTTTCAGTACAATTCAGTGTTTTTCATACTGCATCCTCCTTCTGTTCGATTCTGTTTAGCCATGATGTATGAATATTTTATATGCCGAGCTTGATTAGGATTATGTTTAAGGTATTTATTAGAACAAAGTTTAAGGTGTTTATTGAAAGACACACTGAACTTTGAGGTGCAGTTTTCTCGCTCTGCATTATTACTCTGATGTTGCAGCCTTCACATCTTGTAGGAAGACACAGACTTCAGACTTCACAAGAACACACACAGAACACACACACTTCACATTGTGCAAAGACACATACACCTAGCCAGTCAAATAGTGTTTCTAATTGGCCGGAGGGGAAGTTTAGGGTGAACACCGTGAATAAGACATCCAAATGAGAGACAATGGGGCCTTATTGGATTCTCACATAATGTTTATTGCACCTGGGCCCAGGCTCGATAAGAGTAAACTAAGATTTATAAAGATAGGATGCCTGGGTAAAGAGGGCCTGATGAGAGAAGAAGTCCAGATTTATGAACACAAAGGGCCGATTGCGAGAGGGCTGCAACCCTGAAAGCGGTGAAGGTCATCATGTGACACAGCACACAGCAATATCAAGGTGATGTCTTATTGATCAATGTTCATGGACTACATTTCAGTCTTATTACTTTAAAAGTGTTGTAGGGTATTCACTTGTTTTACTATTGAATATGTGTGGAGGTGGAGGTGGGTCTTCCCCTAAGACCCACAAGAGGAGTGAGATAGAAGATATATCAATCAATCTAAACTTGAGTTAATTTGAGCTTTACTGGAGTCATTGTCTCATTGAAGATTACCATTACAAATAAAGGACCACAATTTATCCAAGTCTAAGTTACAGTTACATCCAAGAGTATTAAGTGTGAGAGTGAGGGCCCGTTAGACCTCTGGCCCGATCTGAGTTTTTTTTCCTCATACAGCTCCATTTTGTGACCTAAATACAGAAGAAAAGAGGAAATAAAATACAAAAAAAAAAAGTTGTGATGGGATATTATTTTGTCCAGAGAAGTGAAATGGGACATAAAACTGAAACTAACATTCAGACTATGCTTTCTGCAGAAACACAGCCTTTCCTATCAAACCTGTGCCCTGAGACCTGGTGCTGTCAATGTCTATCAAGTTATACCAATTGTTGCTTTATTAACACCACAAATGTCATGACAGTGTAACTACCACGCAACTACAGTGGAAAGAAATGAAATTATGCTTGCCTTAACTTTTCACTGAGCACTCACACATTTGATTTGGGGCTGTAAGTGCTAAAGGTGTTAACCACTAACACAGATGAACCTGATGTTGTAAAAGATCACCAGCCCACACTTTGTAAAATATACCACGCACATCTGAACTAACTTGATTTGAAGTTCACATGAAATGTAGGAATGCAATGACATCTCAAATAATTTGGCAATTTTCCTGATTGTGACAAAAGGGATATAACAATGTGCCAAAATAAATGTTTATTTAATGTGTCATTCTTTATTTTTTATTATGGTATTTTATTGTCATAAGACACACATTTATTTCAGTTGTGTCTTCTGATATAATTGTATTAACCCCATGTACTTATATGCAATCAGCCCAACTCAGCTCAGCAGGTAGACACACATGTCACTTTCCAGCACTGTACTCATTTGACATGATCATATCACAGTTTCTGAAATTACTTCTAGTCGTCAGTCTGCCTGCCTGAATCATTTATGTATGTATTCATCTATTGTATTTGGAGAAGAGAGTTTGGCCTTTCCTGAGTCACTTTACCTGAGTCACCTTTTCTGGCTGTTTCAACAGGGTCACCCTCAACAGTGGCCTTCGCTATTGCCTGAACCCCAAGTTGAATGCAATGAAAAGACTCCTGGCTAACGTCATGTGAGTATATTTACTGACATGAATCCAAGCCTCATCCGACCACTAATATTAATCTTCCAGTGAATTACCGATTAAGCCAAACAGATTGTTTCCATCCAGGACACCATGTTATGGGACCCCTCTAGCCTTCCAAGGCTTTCCTCCTGCTCGACTCCGAAGCATCAGTCAACCTGGGCTGAAGTGGTGGTCCGTGGCTGCAAGAGAGGCTCGGACGGGGCTGCCTCTCCTCCACACATCGGCCTCTCCAACCGCTATGCAGCCCTGTCTGACGACACTCCGGTACATCCAGCGGATGCACCTGCGGCTTCGAGTCTCCCTGATACGGATCTCTTTCGTCAGATAGTGCCTGACGACACTGTTGCATCTCCTCCACCGGCTACATCTCCAGCACTGGCGGCAAACGGTGATCATCTCCCAGCTTCCCATCTCTACCCTGCACTGTCGGGTAGCCATTCTCTCAGGTCTGTTACTGCTACTCCAACACAAC